CATCGTTCGCCCCCAGCAAGATTAATCCCGACCCAAAACACTGCAGTAATCCCAGCGCAGATGGCGGCAGGGATGATACGTCGATGACCGTTAGGATTAATCACGGTCGGCGATTAATCCTGGTGAAATAAGTCAACCCGAGCAATGTGTTCCAACAGAATTACTCGTGGGATTATTTCGCGGGATTATGCTCTGGATTATGCTCCGGATTATGGTCGGGATTGTGGCGAAGATTATGACAGGGATGTTGGTGCGGCTTATGGTCGACGCAAATCGTTGCAGTACTATGAACAATACTAGTAGTTACCCACTCATATGAATAGTATCATATCAGCTCACCTGCGGAACTCTAGCGAACTCTGGCCCCTTTTGGCTTCCCTAATGGCTTGTGTGTTCAAGGTGATGTATCGTTCGCGATGGTAGGAGTAGACAGTGGCAAAGAGTAGTCACAATGAATTGGTCACATTACTACGACAAGAAATGATACAATAAGTGTGGTTAAAGCATGGAATCAAAGCGCGAGGGTATCGAAATATGCCTAAGTCACGCAGTCAGTCTGCCAGTCAACTATTTCTAAGAAGTAGAACTTACCGAAAAGTCCTCCTCCTCAAATGCTTTGGCATTCTTCGACATTAAGACATCCAACACAGTATCTTGTTGACGTTCCTTTTCCAATGCTGAGCGCAAGTCAGCCGCAATAATTCCTTCGAGATCGGAGTGTTTTTTGGAGACATCAGCAGCCAATGCCGAAAACATGGTAGCCTGCTTAAAGCTGTAAGCTTTTGCACCATCGGCAGCCGACCGTGCGCCAAGTTGGTCCCAGAGCTCAGCAGTTTTCTTGAAAGATAACTCAGTTCGGCGGAACTCTTCTTCAAGTAACTCTGTCTCCTCCTTTGCCCGAAGGTAGTACGCCCGTGTATCAAACCAGTCGACACGCTCAACTTCACAGATGGTAAGTGGACAATCAGTAGACACAATACATCACGCACGCTCTCGTTCCCACTCATCTTCGGCTGCTTCATTGCTCGTAGGACCTCGGGGTGTGCTCCAGAACCAGGAGTCAGTCAACTTTGAGTCACCGATCTTGCGCTCCTTTCCGCTCTTGCCGTAGATATCTCCCTTCTTCAACTCCTGTAAAACCCCTTCCGGGTTGAGGCCCAATCGAACAAGCGCATCCCATGTGTATCGGTAGACACCAACCGGCTCTTCAACACTGTTCTTCATGGTCTTGAGCACGTTCTGGGCACGTGTATTGGCACCGACTCCATGAATTTGCGTTTTCTTCTCCCGTAACGCGGCGTTTAAGATGCGGACTCTTGTTCGAATGATGGAAAGGAGGTCAAACGCTTGACCTTCTCGCAGAGTGAATTCGACTTGTGCGAGTGTTTCGAGCCCAAGAGCCTTCCGCTCCGTCAAGCCAAAATCGGATGGGAGCATCAGCAGTGCGTCCTCAGGCTTGTCAGGGTCTATCTCCTCCATCTTGTTGGCAAGAAGGGGAGTGCGTTTGGCCATCCGGTTTCGGAAATCTGCCAAACCTTTGAACAAGCGAAGCCGATAACCAGCAATGATGATAGCATCCGCCTTGGTAGCGACAAGACGTCGGATATGGAAACTGCATTTAGTTAGGACACATATATAATACGACAACTGCGTACCGGTCTTTGTCAAGATCAAGACCTTTCGAAATCAGGGAGGCGTCACCAACATGCTGCTCATCAACTGTTTGAGAAGAGAGGATTGTGTCCACCTCTCGTGATAAAAGCTTCGCGTACGCAGCAGCATGTGTCGGAGGGCCTGAATCGGCTCAAGATGTAGTCGAAAGCCAGATTGCAACACATACCGGATTTAGATCGCGCCTCATGGACACTCTGGAATTTGCCATTGACGGTCTCGCTTTTCATCGACTCCCACTGCTGAATCAATTCGGGTGAGTATTTGGCAGTGAGGGCAACGTAGGCAGCCTGTCGCTTCCGGAGTTCATTTGCTGCATAGCGAGCAAGTCATTGGAGTGCCGAAGCTAAAAGAACTGCTCAGTCTGAAGAAACCAAAACAGTTAGCATACCCATCAGAACGAGTTTGTCCCAGTTCCAGTGTCCACAAAAGTCATCGATCGAGTCATGTCGATTACCATCGTTCATCTCTCGAGTACTTCCCGCAGTCAGATTGAGCTCGGCCCAAGCTGTTTCAATCAGCTCGCCCACGGTCAAGGCCACGAATAGCATCCAGTTGAGATTCCACTCCAGTTGACAGTCCTGGTTGTGGTTGTGGATATGCATCTTTGGAATACTACCCCGAATCTTCGAAATAATTTCACGCAGTTGTGGGAAGTGCTCTTCGAAGCGATCGAGAAGGTGAATGACGAATTGACACCAGATGTCGTAAGTCATAAAGATCCAACGGAGGAGTAGTGCTTCGACAAGAACATATGCCAAAGCATAGTCTGTATTCCGAAAGCTGTTGCCAAGTCAATACTGGGGAAACATACGGCTGAGTTCAAATACCTTTCGCCCTTGAACAGATCAACAAGACGAAGGAAAAACCCGTGTCGGGCGCATTGGATTGCAATAACTCCGGTAACTGGGGTATTATTGAACTTGGCGTGGTTTTGTAGTCGCGCAGCACGCAAATGAGCACATGTTCCAGCCTAATAAATGTTGAAAGTCTGCTGCCTTGACAAGAAATACTCACCGGTGCGACAGGTTTAACGACCTTGATATACTTCTTGTATGAACTTGACTCCACGAAGTAGGCATTCCCGTTGTTAAGCTGAAGATCTTCTGGATCTCCCTTCTTCTTTTTACGTCGTAGTTTGAAGTTACCGTCTGCCGAAAGAAAGAGCGTGTATTTGTGCCTGAAAAAGATCAGCAGCAGCAGATCGCAGTAAGAGATGTCACCATACTGTTCGTCGCCCGAGGCTTCATCTATGGTCTTCAAATCAACATTGAAGTTGGCCTCAGGGCATGCAGGACAACGAACAACAAGAGAATTTGACCGTCGACCTTCGGGCTGGACATCATTGATTCCGAAGGCTTGCCCGGACCGACGGACTAAAGCCAGGTAGCGCCATATACGATAGACGAATTGAAATTCTCGATATCGATCCTACTTTGAGTCAGTATCTGCAAAATAGAGGATGTCGTTCTCGTACCGTGACATTAGGCGAAAAGGCATTGTCGGTAAGCTTACAAAGAGCCTTGACGAAATCGTATGCTGACTTTTTCGAGGTCATTGAGTGGATATGGAACTGCTTGAGCACCCTCCAGGTGAATGCAGTCTTTGGTTGGGTGAACGAGGCCGGGAAAAGTTGAAGAGAGTGGAGTTGCTCCCAATAGGGGAGTGGCGCTGCTCCGATGCCAGCTGTACAGGAGCAGTATTCGACGTCGAGCTCATGTATACCATTTGAGTCATACATGGTGAATCGTTGTGTCCGTAAATCGTGCTCGGAGACCTCGGGGCAGCGTTTTCCAGTCGTGCGTGGGCAAGTATAAAGTCGAAAACCGAGTAAGTGAAGGGAAAGTCGTTCAAAGTGTTTGCCATTCCAACGCTCGATTTGATGGAAGGGGTTTGGAGCGTGCTGCGAAATCATGCAGCTGGCGCAGGAGAGTTTTGGCTTGAAGCAATCACGACAGCGATAGATTGTTGCTTCTGGCTGCGAGACTCCACATGAGCAAGTTGAACCCAATTTTCGAGCGGCAAAACTATCCAAGATAATATCTTGAATCTTTGGAAAGTGTGGAAGAGCTGCTTTCATAGCAACCGACGCTCCCTTCGCAGATCAGTTTCAAGACGCATGAGAGAAAGCACATTCGCAACTCACTTGAGGACGAATGGGCTCGGGCTCTCCAAAAACATCGACTATGATTCCATCTGGTTCCATTTCAACCTCCTCCTCTCCCTGGTCCCCGAACTCTACAGATGTCTCCGTATGGGCAAAATCGAATAGTTCTGCTTCGAGTTGTGATTCAAGAACAGGAGGTAAGAATGCAGGATTGTGTTCAGCGCTAATTGGGTAGCTGCCTTCATCTTGTTCAGGCCCATGATGTCGCTTAGGACGGTGTGGTCGCGGAGATGGTGGATGAGCAGTCGAATTGGATGGGCCATCATCATGATGGTAAATGGGGAAGTATCCTTCGTCCTCTGCATGTTGAGAGTATACCGGGGGAGGTCGTTCAGACGGACCATCTTCCTCCTCAGGACCTCGTTTGCGTCGTCGCGGAGGCATTGGCATCAACAACCTGAGCGAGATGAGTTGTCACAAGTGTCACTCATATCGCAAATCGGTCATTTAGGTCTGTAAGTACTCTATTATTTGTACAGTGCAGACATTTCCTCCCACTCAGTTAGCTGCTTCACACCAACCGCTTTGACAAGATATACCGTTTCACCACGACGCTTAACTGTAAGTGGAGTTTCCCAAGTAATGGGCTTCCATTTCCCTCTGTGCCAAATCTGAAACTTTCCGCCAAGGCTTCGTTCCACATCTATTCTCGCACGACCATTCTGCAGGCGAGCAAACCCATCGACTCCCGCAGGCAAGGATATTTGTGTTGGAGTAGTATAATCCTGGTAAGTATTAGTGTCTGTCCGCATCTTCGAAGACTGTGCCTCTCACTGATATCCAAATAATACAGAGTGCATTTCGTTTCACAACGCCGAAGGTTGCTTGTCCTGGCTGCTGGGGAACTTGTTGCGGGAGTGCGACTGGTTTGGTGCGCGCAGAGCACAAGAATAACTCCACAGCTTGCCGGTCCGAAGAGGACAGCTGGGCGAGAATCGTTGCCCCAAGAGTTTCCATTTCGTTAGGAGCTTTACTTGGAGGTCGACGTGCATCAAGAGCTGCGAGGACACGACTTCGTTTTGAGGGCGCTGCTTGGGAAGCCATGTACTTCCACTATTCACTCACAACTGACCTTTTATAGATCGTGTCGGTCAAAGCACAAACAATTGTCTCTTGCTCGTTGTACCATTGTGACCTATTCCGCAAACCATCTCTTGCCCCCATGTCTCCTCCACCAACACCCAAGGCATTTCTTCGCAGCATCATTCCTTCACCACCACCAGAGTTTACTGCTTGTAAGGCGGACTACGAGCACCACCTCAACTTCAATCAAGGGCAAACGCAGAAAACCCGAGACAAGATCGGCCAGTACACCACCTTTGTAAGTCCATGTTGATTCGGAGACTTGTCCTCAACACTTCTCTAGTGTCCTGGTCGTGTTGGCTATACTTCACGTGCAACAGCACTGTTTCCAAGTGACATCCGCCACGATCTCCATGAACTCGACAGCCAATATCGGTCACTATATCGAGATGTGGCACAACCTCAGTTTGACCACGAGGCATTTCGGAAACTCAAGAAATCAGGCGCTGCATTAAAGGAAACAATCAAGGAATGGCAAGCAAATCGTCAAGAGCCTCCCGTCGTCCGGGCTACAAGTACGTGCACCAATCTAGCTGCTCAAACTTTTGCCTCTGATGCACTTGCTCAGGAAAGCGAAAGTTTGACGATCTTACACCGAGTCAAAGCGCAGCAGTCTTAGAGCAAGATTGCTTTGACCCAACAGTGTTTATCATCAACCCCGCCCACTGTATGAGATTTTACGCTCTCACTTCATAAGTGCTTAACACGTTGTTCAGATCGTAGAATCGATGTCATTATCCTCGATGGCGGTCCCAGTCTATCAAAAAATTCCCTCGAGCTTCGCCATGCTGGGAACGTCTGCCTCGGAGATTTTCAATTTGCGCAGGAGTATTTGGACGGGCCAGTCTCTTATGATTGGTTCTGTGTCGTGGAGGGGGAATTTATGCCAGGGGCCTTCACTACTCATATCAATCTGCTCGACCGAGGAGATCAACTTATTTGTCGCCGCGCAGATGTTCTAAACGATGAGTGTGAACCTCTCTCTCGTTGCCTACTGGCCTTATATCAATCACTTATTCCACTTGCAAGAGTAAAAGCCACCATTATCGATTTAACCTTAGAATAAGTTCTGTACCACATTGTAAATAACGCATAATTTCTTCTACTCGTTTAAATTGTCGTCGACATAAATAGGATTCATCTTATTCCCTGGCGGCGGCAGCAGATTTAAGTCTGTTTATATCGTAAATGGACGCTGGTTGAAATGGGCATACATACCATGAGCCATCCGAACTACGGAGCGCATTGCGCGATATAATTGCCATTCCAACCCGACACAGTTGCTCGCATCCACAGAGTGAGCGCGAAAGACCATAAACTGACCATAACGTGTCAGATTCATCAGTCGAAGATAAGCGTTCCCCTTCCATCAACGATGTAATGTGTCGTAAAATACATATTGTTGGTTTGGTCGACCATCTTGGGTTACAGCGCCAATGGCCTCGAGAAGCGGCCTCGGGAGGATACCCAGTCTGAAAGCCTTGAGGCAGCACACTTGAACCGTCACTTCGATGGGTTCTACGTGATCTTCAAGATAGAAAGTGAGATAGCATTCACGAGCTGTAACATGGTCAGTTAGCGGAAACAAGCAACAAAAACCACTTGCTTTGAGTTGGCATAATCTCGTAGACATCACTGTCATACTCGTCCTTCACTGAAAGCTGGCATTAGCAATGAAGCGACAGAGATAGAGAAAAGTACAACCACTCACAAGCTTCAAGGGTGACCTCTTCATCGCCATATGGTGCTGCGTCAGAAACGACAGATATCATATCGGCATCATCTTCATTATTGAGGTTATTGTTCGGTTGGTCCATGCTTGATTCGTTTTTCCTGTTGGTATGTTCAGTTAGCTCTTATATACTGAGGCAACGCTTGGGCCTAATCTGCGCGCTTGGGTCTTGCCCTGAACTGGTCTAAACAATTGAGGTCGACGCTGCAGTTCCAAGCGATGGTGAGCCTATAAACGTGAGTACCACCCATCTATTTCCAACCACACCATGTCCGCTTTCGAAAACGCCTACCACTTTGACATCCTTCCCGAACTGATTGACCATCCCATGTACGCTGCTGCAAAGGCTGCTCATGAGACTTTGTCGCCTGCAGAGCAGCGCATCATCCAGGCACTCTCAGAGCTTCCCCAAGAGCCTATCGAGTTTCCAGAGTATCGCAAGCAGTTCGTTGCGATATGGTGTCAGGTGTGTGAAGCGCTCTGACTTTTGGTGTTGCTGAAGATTGTGATTAGGATGGCGAATTCCCAGCACGAATGCTACTCGAGATGGAGCCATGTGGAGTCCGCCTATCGTTCCACAGGAACACCGCAATATTGCTTGAGAAGGGCCTGCGTCAAGGGACAGCACTTCGACGATATGTTGATGGCAAGTGGGTGCCAGTGAGTTGGAACGAGCCGATGCGCGTGGTCAAGGGTGAAGCTTTAGGCTTGCGAGTCAGGGGGGTTACGCAGCTGAGCGACTGGTATAATAACATGTATGCGTTTGAGTAAATATCTGTACACACTTGCGTAGAAGTCACGTGCGCGTGACTTCTACGCAAAAAAAGTTCTCCAATGACGACGACCATACTTGATGCTGGCCTGCGCTCATACCACGCCAGCGCCACACTGGTAGACGATGCAGAGTAGAGCTGTGATGGTGTATTGCAGATGATGCGCAGATACAAGGTGCGTGAAAGGCTACACATACCTTCCCATTTTTTCTGACTATATCCGTTGCAGGTGTTTTGTCGACTTGTTTCAGCCACTCCAAACAAGTCATGCACCGTTCTGCAACACATCCTCCAACTACGATCGTCCTCTTGGCTTTGCTGGACGAGCAAAAGTAGGACTTGGGTGCTTCTCCTCCGAAACAGCCATCTGCTGATGCAGCAAAGAGCTCCGCAATGGTCGCTCGTGTCGGAGGCCACAGTTGTGGATATATTGTGTGAGTTTCGTCAACCACCGCCCACTTCCATCGACTGACATAGCCTGTTTAGCTCTCTTGCTGGCGGCTGGCCCAAATCCACCCAGTCCATATTCTATTTGTGAGGAACCAACCTGACTGTCCCCTACTTGAGAGGACCCACGTTCTGCGTGTGGTCATTCCTGGAGGATGACTGTGAGGACCCGGCTTCGAGGCCCGAAGTCCGTGGTCGCACAGTTTTGTGTTTTACTGCTGAAAACCGGGTGCGTTGATTGTTTCTGCTCGCAAACTCAAGCTTACTTCAGCGTTCTTATCGTCTAGATGGACACATCCACCCCCGCGACTCTGCGAGCAACCCTCACATTCGATTTCGCCCGACCCAGTCGATCTTTCCATACTGCATTCCACACTACGTCCATGCGGAGCTTCTGGCGTAGTGCTTCGGCGGAGACGGAAGACAAGGAGACTCGACTTGTACCAATCACATATTTGCTCGCTCGGGCACCCTTCCGTCGGTGTCCGTTGCATTTTCCTCCGCTCTGGAAGACGGTCCACCAACCCCGAATGTCACGTGTCTCGATTGCTGGCGCGACCGTCACGCCCAATCCTTCATTCGCCACCTTACGCATGTCTCACCTCTCGACAGTCTGCAGTGCTTTCTGGTGCCTGGACCAGCTCAAGCACCTTGTCCCAAGCACCAGGTCAAGTACCTTGTCCCAAGCGCAAACTTGTTCCAAGCGCAAGCCTGAGTGAGCGATTGTCAATGGACGGTCAAACCTTTGTGCTCTCAGGGCACTATAAAGTCCCTCCCATGCTCTGGCCTCAACAATACCACCCATGTCTGCGAACGATACCAACGAGGACAGCCGCCCGCTCTACACCATCATCCGAAAGACGAAGGGCACAACCGACAGCGAGCGCCGCCTCCGGGAGAGGGCCGACACCATCTTCAATTATGTCAAGAGCACTAGCTTCACTCAAGTAGTTGAATGGGAGAATGCGGGAAGTAAACATCCTAACCCTGCGGTATGTTTACTTCCCTCGTCGTAATCTCGGTCTAACATTATCCAGATTACCAAGAAGATGGATCACAAAGATTATATCGACACGGTTATCTATCCCGACCTGGACTGCCGGTTCGAAATTAGCGGGCCAAACGGCTTTCGAATCTCAAACTTTCTCCAAGTAAGTGATGCCCGGTTGTCTTACTTCCCCCTTATCGCTTACTAGGCATTGCACAAAACTATCAACAACTTTATTCGAGAGGCTCGCAAGAACAACGGGTATCTCCCCGGGATGCAACCTGAAGTCGACGAGGGCCACACAACGACGCCTGCCTCAACGACTGTTGTTCCTCGTGTCAACCGTCTACCTGCCCGTATTGCGCGTCCTGCTACGCGCCCGAAAATGAGTGTTCGCCGCATATTCGAGGAAGATCAAAAGACCGAAATTGAGAGGCTGACGAATGCGAAACTCGAGGGACAGGAGCGGGCGCACCGAGATGGAAAGGACTTGAAAGCACGGGCAGAGGCAGTGACAGAGCTATGGACTAATTGCGACAACAAAGAAGAATATGAGAAGCGTGCTGCTGAGGAGAATGCAGTGCGTGAAGCAGAGCTTACGCCCAAGCAACTAAGTCTGTGCGTTTTTTTCTCCCTATTTCTTCAACAGCAACTAAGAAACATTCAGCAATCAATCGGAGTTTGGGCGTGAGCTCTCGACTGTTGTTGCCAGCTACTTTGGCAAGCATGGCAAGCAGATTGGTGATGCCATTTTGTTTGCGCGTTACGCGTTCGTGGACCCCAAGACTAACCAAATTGGATTCAAGAAGTGAGTGGCAATTCCTTCGTGTTAACACTATGCTTATGGGGACAAGAATTACGGTCAACGGCTTCAGCGACGAAAAGTTTGGCGGAACAACAGAGGAGTTCGAAGCTTGGAAGACTTATGCAATGCATACTCTACAACCTGGTAGGTTCCATTTTCGACTCTGACCATACAAATCAAATCATACTTACTAATTCGTAGCAGTCTCACCGGCCTTGACTCCACAAAGTTCGCCGCCGCTTCTACCACCCATGCAAGCAGTACCTCCCCCACCTCCACCTCCCGTTTTACCCCCGCCTCCGCCTGCACCTCCTGTTGTCCCACCGCCTCTTCCTGTGCCTCCCGTTCTCCCCCCCGCCTCCACTTATCTTCCATGCTGTGCCGGCCGGGAGCACAAACAACCCTGCACGGGTTGTGCCAATTGTGGGAACGACACAACCAGTTCCGCCGCTGCCTCCCATTCAGCCAGAACTCGCCAATCCTAATGGTCTTCTGCCTCCCGTCATCAACCCTTTACCACTACCACCTACATCACCGTCCATTCTATCCAAGACACCCAACACTACCAAGGTTTTGAAGAAGCGTCCGCGCGAAGGCGAAGAAATTACCCCCAGACCACCCAAAAAACCAAAGAAGGCTCCGACAAAGGCCAAGGCCCAGCCAGTGGCTCAGGCTATATCTCCTCGTAAAACTCGAAGTCGCGGCCCTGCGTTGGTGTCAACGAAACCAAAGAAGGATCCTTTACTTAGTTGGGGGGTAACTTTGACAAAGGATGGTGTATCGAGGAAATATTCAGGCCGAGAGTACGCAAACACATTTCCAGCCGAGTTTCGTGAGAGGTATCCGGAGGAGGTGCAATGGCTAGTTTGGCCTGACCTGGAGTAGATTACTTGCCATCTTGTGCTATATCGACCACAATTAACGACTTATTTCACCTTAATGTGCTCGTGCTTGGTCACGGGCGCAGATACTTCTTGTCTCAAACCTCGGTGGCAAGATCATACTCAAGTGAGTAGCTCAGCAATTCTGTTGTGCCTCCCTTTGCTCATTGTCATTGAGAAGGATTGTCTCTAGCATGCAGCTGGGCTTGAGCTGGCAGCTTGGAACGTTCATAATCCACGACATAATCTTCATGCTAATCTCGAGATAATCCGACATAATCTTCATAATAATCCACGACATAATCTTGACGGTAATCGTAATGCAGCATAATCCCCAATAATCCGAAATATAATCTCCGCACTAATCCTCCCTGCCAGCAGTCGTCAAAACCTTTCTCAGCCTTGATCTTCCGGGGATTAATCCTAGGTCAACCAGCTCAGTACACTGCAGATAGATTAATCCTTCCCTACATGTAGGTATAATCGTGTCGTAGAACATAGCTAGGATTATCCCTCTCTGCCTCGCAAAGATTAATCGCCATCACTGAGGAGACTGCCCAGTTGATGTCGTCCGGATTTGGCGCATCTTTCAGCCAAACAAAACCATGTACGTGCCCGCTTCCCCGTTCTTGCCACTCATAGCGATACCATGAGTGTTTGACAGGAAACATTGTACCGACATAATGTTTCATAAAAATCTGCACGCGGTGATCAAGATAGGACGCGGCCATGTGAGGATTCCGTTCAACAGCCAGCCGTCGTTGGCGCCGCTCACGTTTTGTAGCATCCTCGTTGGCAGCTGTCGCCTCGGCAGGAAGCTCTGGGGGCATGTGCTGGTGCAGATCCGGCCATTGAAGGTCGGCGGCGCTGAGTGTGAAGAAGAAATGTGGAGATCCCTTCACGCGAATCATGTCGGTGAGTTCATTCCTTCGTGCATGCCAATAGGCACGGGTCCCTCGAAGCTTGGCGCCATATCTAATCATCTTGCGCGCAACAGACGCGTCTCCTTCACGCAACATTGCCGCGAGTTCTTCTGCTGTCAACCTCCCAGCATCGTGGTTCTGCCGGACAAAGATCTGCGCCTGCGACCTGGTACGGTGGCGTTGAAGCGTATTAAACGCAAACCATGGGAAGCGTCGATGTCGGGCAAACCGACCACCCTCGAACTTCATAAGGTGTGTGAAGTATTCACCAAGATCAATTTTGCGTTGACGTGGGGAGTAGAAATCTGCAGTCCCATCTGGGAAGAGGGTTGGAAATGCCTGCGCAATGTATCCTGGTGTCCATTCGGAAATTGGATTGATATCGACAACTGGGGCCTGGATCTGATACTTCAATTAGCTATCTGCATGGTATGTTTGGTGGAAACACCTACAATAGTTTGCTCATATGTGGGGCCTGCAGCAGGACCTGCAGCGCGACGGATTTCCTCTACCTCTGTGCGGCCAGTTCCACCCAGATTTGGTATGCCACCTACAAAAACACCTCCATCATCAGTATCGGTTCCTGCCGCTTGAACAGGTCCTGCAGCAGCAGCGGTGTTTCCGGCCTGTGTTCCTTCACGACAGGTGGGGATACGACCCACAACTGAGCCGTTCTCGGGCAACTGACTAAGTGCTTCCTCGTCTAGCTCGAGATCGGTGTAAGCGGGATCATGTGTGATCTAGAGCTCACCCTCGTCTTTCGTCAGAGTCGCCCGGTACCCACATATGGGACCGCATGGGCTTATTATTATTATTATTATTATACTCAAGCGCCTTTCGAATCTTCTCCCTTCGGACCACATAATCAACGTGCTGCGATAAATCAACGCCATCCCGACGGATTATCACAATATCAACGTCTTCTGGTAAGCGCGGGAGTTTTTTTGCAATTTCTGTGATGTCTTGAGGCAAGTTGACAATGTGGTCTTTGTAGCAGAGCTGACGGCCCTTGGTGTATCGGACCTGCATCACGGTTTTGCAACGCGCAATGAGGGCAAAAAAGATTTCGCCGCTTTCGGGGTGCGCGGCTGGGAATCGGCAGGTGCGCGGCTCTGTGAAAATTAGTGTAGACAATATCTTTGTATTTACTTAAGCTAATACCAAGATCTATGAGCTGCTCGGTAGCCCCCATCGAGTCCTTTCGAACGTGCTACTGCGCGGCTCGAACGGTGCTCTCGTTGTCGAGCACCGGCCTTCGACTTTTTAGGGTGCGCGGCTCGACGCGGCGGTGGGCGGCGCAGCGCGGCTCCTACGCGGCGCACGTGTGACAGGGCGCGGCTCCCAGTCAAACAAGGAGAGCGGCGATGTACCACAGCCGCTTCCCAAGTAAGCGGCAGCTGCGGCTGAGTCTGCAGTCTGTTGACCTCCGTCCTCGTGTTACCAACTGAGCTCACTGTGTAACTTGCGTTCCTTCCCACCGTCTCCCCTTGAACGCATTCTACGTTGCCCGCGCCCTCGTCGTCATCGCCATCAGCGTTGGCCGGCGGCGTCAAGGTTGACAGATGATCAGTGATTGAGATCTCTGCATCTTGGCTCCGCTCCACCACCACCATACGAAACACCTTGATGAGCGTCACCGCGCATGCCTTCACGGGACTCGACCAACGTCTCCAACGACGTGACATTGGTGCCCTCCACAGCCTGCAGCTTGCCCGCTATTGCCACCGCCGCGGCGCCGCGCTTTCTTCTGCACAACAACTCTTGCAACGTGGTATGGCACTATGGTCCACAAGCTGACAGAGTAGCTCTCACCACGATCCGCGGCGGCGGATGGTGCGCGGCCCAGTGAGCGGCTCGGCAAGCGGTACGTGGCGCAAGCGGCGAACGACGAGATTGGTTAAAACTTAGCAGCTGAGACTCACCGACATCCCTCGACTTCTGGATGTCATGAATGGACAAGCTCAAGACGAGCAAGCCTCCTCCCCTGCTCACCTCCTTGTGGTTGGCGCTTGACGCGCTGTTGCTGCGTTCGTGGGCCAAGGCTCCGAGACTCCGAGTTGTTCTTCTGGTTGGGTTAGCTGTGACGAATGTGGCCCCGAACCTGAAGGCTACCTAGGCGGCACTGAGAAGCGACCCGGACAATTTGCAGCTTCTCAGACTCGGTCGTCTCGCCACCTGCTGAACACGCTGAATCCACTTTGGGGGCCATGCTCTGTCCGCGGCGCGGCGGTTGGGTCGGGCGAATGAACTGAGGCATAATGCGCCAGCCATTCTGTCATCCATGCCCGAACCGCTCGCCGGTTTCTGCGCTCGACATGACACTGCCGCGTGCCGCGTTCGACACGGTCGGCACTCGCAGACGGCAACCTGCACTTCTTTCACCGTCTAACGGGCTTCACGGCTTCTCCCCCAACAACATCCCTATTGATTTCCCGCCAGAACTGCCCAGCACTTCGCGGGCAGCAGACAAGCCAGTGCAACAGAGACCGAGCGCTGCAGAGGCCCACGTGAATACGCATAGTTCAAGTCCAAGACATCTCTGGCCGTCGGGATGGCTGCCAGGGCACAGGACGTGCCGGCTCTCTCCTGCCCTAGTCGCGGCGCAACCCGCAGCAGAGATATGGGGTCTGTCGATCTGTGTGCGTTTTCGCGCTGATTGACATGATTCTTCGCGCAGAAGCCGCGTCGCGCAGCAGTCAGAGCGGCATGACATCTTGCGGACTGTGGGAGATTGCCTCAGGCTTGCGGACAAGCACCGCGAGTGGTGCCGGAGACCGTGGTTGCGAAAAGCGGTGGCGGGTACTAGTGTACAGAAAGTGCCATGTGTGCACTGCATTCCTGCGCCGAGAGACAGTCGTGGTAGGACTGGATAGCAGGGAAGGCAAAGGGCGTACCGGTTCAGGCAATGTAAGATGGAGCAAACATTGTTTATAAGTAGCTTTACTCTTCTTTGCGTTCACATCCGCAATACTGTAAAAGACTTAAAATGGCAGTTGTGCCCTAACAAGTCTACATTTTGCACTTCTGTTTTCACTCTTGAACATACCATACTTCTGGCTAGCAAAATCCACGAAAATCTCAAAATCTAACAAACAAGGACTTCGCCGCTCACCCCTACGCGGCTCTGAATATCGGCGACGCGGCAAGCCCGCAGCGCCGAGCAATACCACCAGAATACAGGATAGATGCTACTGATACTGGCGGCCTATATATGTGCCTTTGCGGCGCAATTCTAAGGCCCCACTGGCATAGTGATGTAGACAGGGGTAAAGTACCCTTGTTCAACTGTGATGCTTTACTTTGCCTTATGCCCAAGGGCAATGCCCATAATGTGAGCTCATGAACCCCATATAGCTGCCTGGCGCACTATCCAGATAAAATTTGGAGTTATACAGCAACATTGAACAATCCCTCAAAAACATACGATGACTTAGAATGGCAACTAAGAAAGAACAACTGAAAATTTTGCAATGAGGCTTTCAGTAGTGCATACAGTACACCAAAGGCTATCATCCCCCACTAAAATCTCAAATCATAAAAATTGAGTACATCGCCGCGCACCCTTGGGCGGCGGCGCTGGACGCGCGATGACAGCACTGGAGCATCCGGGATCCCACAGGCTGCGAAGGAGACCTAGCTCTTGGTCAGGGTTAGATATCTTGAGGTGTCAACGCGTCACCGAAGCGGCGGTGAGTACGTTTGACGCAACAACCTCGACAAGGGTGAGCGGCGAAGTACTGGATTATGTCAGATCAAGTACTTCGCCGCTCACCCCCCGGTGTGACTGCCGCGGCAGCGTGACAGAGGTGCGCGGCGATGACGCGGCGGTGCGCGGTAGGTGCGCGGCGGTGCTCGGCGAAATATATGAGCCCGCGCAATGAGCATCTCCTCCAAATCGGTAAGATTTTGCAACTCTGGTGGTACAGCGCCTAATTCTCCTTCAGCAACACGACAACTGTGAAAAGCCACAACATACTCGGGTTTGTATTGTTCTCATCAGACCACTTGCGGATGTCACCCTCATCTCTATCGCACCGGCTACAGAGTGTGGCCGTCTTGAGCTTCACATCAAAGCCCTCCTCGCGACACCCAGAACAGCGGCTAATAGACAGTGCTGCCAACTCGGCATTCATCTTGGCAATTGCAGCAGCCTCTCGAGCCGAAAGGGCACTATCCTCCGGCAGGTCGATGTCCATAAACTCGGCCCCATTTCCGAAAAACTCATCAAATTCATCATCAGGAGTTTGCGCAACACCCTCGGCAGCATCATCTCCAGCTGCATCCTCGCCCAACTCGACGTCGACATTGCCTTCAGCATGCATAGCAGCATATTTGGCACGGCGACGCGCACGGCATGCATTGCAATTGGCGTACACACGACCATCCTCGGTACGTTCAGCATCGGTAACGTTGTGGGCGCCTGAGGTGCAGAAATGCATTCCCTGGGCATCGGCCCGCTCCCGACGCCGTTGCCGAGAGGCGGCTTCACTGGCGCGACAGGAATCACAGGTTCTGTAGAGACCCTGTGCCTCTTGCCCAGGTGGTCGCTGGAATTTGGATCTCTTCTTGATCTTGTAGCAGCTCTGTCGCAACGTTCGCGACTTCGACAACGGCGACATCGCGCTTGAAGATTTTCACTCCCCGAAGTGCGGAAGGAGTCCAGCGGGAAGCGTTCTTCACAGAGCTCGCAATAACGGCCGGTGGCATGAGGTCCTCGAGCGGGTGGGACACGAAGAGTGAGTCTAGCGCGGCGGTGGCCTTGTTCTTCGGCACGCTGATGTACACATAGGCGGCACATGTCGCGGAGATCGTCATATTGCTCGTCGGGTACCAGCCTAGTGGGTGAACACTGGCAGCGCGTACAGAGTCGGTTGCGTGGCTGCCGTGGTCTGAGGGGAAGCCGGCGGTTGGGATGGGCAAGTGATTGTGGAGCGGCAGACATGGCAGACAGGTGGAGGGTGGTGGAGGGGCTTTGAACGAAGGCAGACGCGTTGGAACATGTGACCGTGGTCAGTGGCATAGACAGATGCACTGGCAAATATAACTTGCTCAATTCGATAGTTTTTTGTCTAAAATCTTCACAGAATGTGCTAATACATGACTAGAAAGCAAATGAGAAGTTACAGAGTCAACAGACCAAAAATGAATGAGTCTGAGGCAAATTACTAGCCAGAGGTTGGCCATCAATCCTCCGGAGAAAGCTGTGCAGTCAAAAAGCACTGATCACCCTCATCTCACGCAAACAGAAGAATCCCACGCATCCTTAGAAGGAGTGGGTCAAGGGGTCCGCTCGACCTTCGGGGACCGTGGCCCATCTGAAGCCCGCCCGTTTGCAAACTTGTATGTCGGCCTTCGACAGGCTCATAAAAGCCCAATTTCAGCCCGGCTACATCTTCTCTTGGATGGCCAAACCGCCTCGTCTCGACACCTGCGACAACTTCCCAGTGTGCGTCGAGGAGCGCTTCCACAAACTGCGGATCTGCATCAACAACGGCTCTTGCCGCTATTTTCTTATGTCGTTCAACGCTCAGGAGTCCAACATATTTAGCCAATGTGCCCCTTGCCAGAAGCAAATCGGTGATTTGCTTGTTTCTGGCAGACAAAAGGGATGGGACGACCTCCCAGGCTTCTTTGACCTTCCTGCCTGGGGCGAGTTGAAGAGCGGCTTGCCTTGAGAGCCTTTACGTTCCACCGGAGGTTATCTTCGAGTTTGTCTGTCCCGCCATACCTATAGCCTCTTTTCGGTGCCTGTCTGACTACTTGTGCAGGGAGGAGCGCAAGCTTATGGCGAGCAATGGTGTGGTTGAATGAGGGGCCAACAAGTAGGGGGGCAATGACGAACAGTCGAATTATGCGATAAAGGCTGAGTAACAAGAAGGGAATACAGTACAATAAGCTAGACAATACCCAGGTGCTGCATCAAAGTCGCTTGATCAATAGCACGGTTCCCAGCCCCTTGCAAGTTGTAGCCTGTCAGGTAGGCCTGAAGTTCTGCATCTGTGAGATTCCGGGGATCTTCACTCGCAAGGAGAAGTGGCAAGGGTCCGCCTGCAGCTGCAGACAACTATGGGAAACAGTCAATGGTCATCAACAGTGGTTTACAAATGAATAACACACATTATCAGGATTTACGACCGCCCCAACAACAGGGTCAAGGACCGGAATAACTTCAAGAGCGTTCCCGGGAGCACCTCCGCATTTTATGATGTTGCTAGCCTGGGCCAGGTGAGAAGAGAGTCAATGTATGGATATAAGCACATACGCGAATAACGATAAGCTTGAGGTCGTCCACGACATCGGTAATTTGCTGGAAGCGGTTGCCGAGCTGTTGCATTTGTTGCTGGAGCTGTTGCATTTGTTGCTGGAGCTGTTGACTGGTTTGCTGGACATTTTGGTCGACCTGAGCCATGCGGGCATTCAGTTGCTGTGCCCACAGAGGAGCACCGGCGAGGGCGACATTCTGAGGGACTGGCACCGTCAATAGCGAGAAACCATCCAGTCCTGGACATACCAGCATTCAGGGCAACAGCAGCCAGCACCTCATTCGAATAAATTTTCGAATCGATGTACATCTGATCTGTAAATCCGGGAACGTGCACTGAAGATACCAGTGAGGGTGAGGAAGCAACTAAACAACCTGTGCCACTTACAACGGCATTGAGTCGCAATACGGATATGATACTCTTCAGCAACCTTGGCGTCCGTTACCGTAGGAGGGTTCACCAAAGCAGGCGGCGCAGCCATGCCCGGGATGAGCGGCGGAGGGTTGATTGCGGCCATGACGTGGAAGTGAAAGGAAACGCTCTGCGTGACGTGCGCGTCACGTGCGCGATGCTCTGTGTGACGTGCACTGTCAATTAATAATTAAACTTTAACCTTCGATAGGGATAGAATTCCGCAGTCAAATCGGCAGGTCTGTCTACATGGAATACCATACCTAGAAATATCCAACACAACTCCAGAGACACTGGTACTATTTAGATCAAGTGTCTGCAACTTTTTGATTTTTTGGACCCAAAAAAATTTGTTTTGATTTAAGGCAATTTTTTAACAATGAGTTTTTTTGGTCATTGTAACATGTAACACGGACACTTGATCTCAATAATACAGTACTGTGACAATAACACACAAGAGAGCAAGACAACTTCAAGGGCCAAAATGCCACCAAAACAATTGCCAGCAGCATGTAAGGACAACCCCGGAGGCCTGAGATCAAGGTCCTAGCAGGGGAGGATCCCAAGAGAAGAAACTCTAAGGGTCCGCATGCTAGGGAGCTGACTATATACTGCTCGTCCGTAGCTGCCGTTGTCGGGCACAGAAGGCCTGGGCAGTGTCACAGGCAAGGTCCCAGGGCGACTGTTGGGAGGGCGTTGACAGATGGGTGATTGCGCACGTGAGATGGAGGGTCGGACCGGAGTTGGAACTGGAATCGGAATCGTCTCCGAGGGGCTGAAAGGGAGGTTCCCCTGATATCACCCCCCCTTTGAATGCGGTGTCCCGATGCATAGACCGGAACGGAATGGTGTGAAAGGTCGTGGAGGCGATATGCTGTGGTTTGCCAGGGTACTTACAATAGAACTCCGCGATTTTGTCCGGGGCAAAGACGTGGTCGAAGCGGACCCACTGGTCGTGCGATGTATCGTAGCCTTTCCATCTGACAAAGTAATTCAGCCGTTTATACCTCACCCTTGCGTCCAAGATTTCCTCTACTTCCCACTCCGGGACTCCGTCCTTGAGGTCCGGAGGGGGGCTGGTCGTAGCCGGGGCGTCTGTCGAAGAGGTCGTCTTAGCGTGGAGGGAGGTCGAGCTTGTAGGCGCCTTTGCTGATCTCCGTGACTATCTTGAACGGTCCGAGGCGGCGGTGGGAGAACTTCTCCGAGGGGCGAGTTGTCCTGATGTCAGAGGTATCCAGCCAAACACGGTTGCCAACCTTAAACTCCGGAGACGGAGTGCGTCTCCGGTTGTAGTAGCGCTTGTACTCCTCCTTGGCCTTAGTGAGCGCGGCCTTGGCTTCAGCAACCCCAGTGGCGATTCGGTCGCAGAACTTGTGCACCGACTCCATGGCGGAACGGACTCCAGGTTCGAAGCCCATGCGCGGGAGTCGTCCCATGTCCGTCATGAAGGGGACTTACTGCATGGAGGAGTGAACGTGGTTGTTGTAGGCAAACTCCGCAGCCGGAATCAGCTCGTCCCAGTCATCCTGCTGATACTTGGTGAAGATCCGCAGGTACTGCTCCAACTCCTGATTGACGCGCTTGGTCTGGCCATCTGTCTGTGGGTGGTACACAGTGGACGTGGCAGGCTTGATGCCGATTAGACACCAGAGTTCTCGGGTGAAGTCCGCAATGAACTGCGAGCCGCGGTCGGAAACATACTTTTCCGGAGTCCCGTGGTGCTGCCAGACATTCCGGCAGTAGAGGCGGGCTGTTCATACTGTGTCGACCGTGGTGTGACACTCCGAAAAGTGGGCACACTTCCCGAGGGTGTCCATGACGACCATGATCGTGTCGTACCTATGCGCCTCAAGGAGCTTGATGATGAAGTCGACGGAGACGGTGTGCCAGCGCTCTGGGGGCGTTTCCGTCGGGTGCAGCTCTCCGTGGGGCAGTCTCTGAAGTGCCTTGGTGCAGCAGCACAGGTCACAGATCACGACGTAGCGGCCGATATGGCGAGACATCTGAGGCCACCAGTAGTTCCGGGAGACCAACTCTAAGGTCTTGAAGCGACCAGCGTGTCCAGCGACTCAAGTGTCATGGCAGAGCTTGATGATGCGTCTCCGCAGGTCCTTGTCCTTTGGTACGACAATCTTCCCACAAAAGTGGAGAAGACAACCGGAGATGGCCCATTCGTCGGAACGTGAGGAGCGGGGGCCTCGAGCTTGACCTTGAACCCTGAGGAGTTGCCGGGCCGCTAATGCGACGGGCTCCTCCAGGTCAGGCTCACCAGACAGGACATCGCGAATGTTGCGAAGGAGTTCGGAACCGGGACTGGAAACGGAAACACCTTCGAGTGCGCGGACGTGGTCGCAGAAGGACGATGTCGGAGTTGTCAGAATTGACTTCGTGGTCGGGCCTCCGGGAGAGGGCATCAGGTCGGCCCATGTCACGACTGGGCTTGTGGTGCACCATGAAGTCAAACCGGGAGAGGTAGAGGGACCAGCAGGCCTGTCTCCGGTTGAGGTGCTGCGTCTTCCTGAAGCATTCCAAATTCTTATGGTCAGTCCAAATCTCGACAGGATGTGCGGCGCCCTCGAGGAAGTGTCTATACTCCTCGAGTGCGCGGATGATTGCAAGCATCTCCTTGTCGTGGATTTCGTAGTTGCGCTGGACATCATTTAAGCTTTTGGAATAGAATGCTACAGGGTGCCACTTCCCGTCCGGGGCGGATTGTGAAAGAACCGTCCCCGTTGCATAATCAGAGCTGTCTGCCTCAAGTCGGAAAGGCTGTGTGTTGTCCAGAATCGCTAATACCGGTTCCGAGGTGACCGCGTCCTTGATCGCTTGGAATGCCGAGGCCTCTGCGTCGCCCCAAGTCCACTTCTGGTCCTTCTTGGTAAGCGCGAAGAGCGGTCGCGCCAGGGCTGAGAAGTCCCGAATAAACCTGCGATAGAAATTAGCAAACCCAAGGAACTGCTGAACGTCCTTCTTGTTTTCCGAAGTCGGCCAGGCGGAGACGCCTGCCACCTTGACAGGGTCCATTTTGACGTGGTTGTGGGAGATGATGACTCCGAGGTACTCGATTTGCGATTTTTCGAACTCGTACTTTTCTGCTTGAAGGTACAGCTTGTGCTCTCAGAGTCGCCGCAGGACCTCTTGAACAATTCCGCGATGTTTCCGAAGGTCCGAGTGGGCGATCAGGATGTCGTCAAGGTAGATCATGACGTCGCCAGAGAGAATTAGGTCCTGGAAAATGTCATTCATCATGGTCTGGAACATCGTGGGGGAGTTTGTCAAGCCGAAATACATCACCAAAGGCTCGAACAGGCCTCGGTTGGTCTGGAAAGCCGCTTTCTACTCGTTACCTTCCTTGATCCGGACGTTGTTGAAGCCCCAACATACATCAAGTTTGGTGAAGTAACGAGCGCCCTTGAGCCGGTTGATGAGGTCGTTGATCAGCGGAAGGGGGTACCGGTTTTTGACGGTCATCGCGTTAAGGGCCCAGTAGTCCTGGACGAAGCAGAGTCCGCCATCCTTCTTTTTGACAAAGAACACTGGAGATGCTATCAGAGACTTGGAGGGCCGAATCCGTCCCGTAGACAGCCCTTCCTCCATGAACACGTCGAGCTCGCATTGCTCAAGGGGTGAGATGGGGTACACCTTGCAGTTGGTGGGCTTGGCGTCGGGAACGAGTTCGATGGCGTGGTCCCATGTTCTCCGCTCCGGTAACGTGTCGAAGGACTCCTTGTTGAAAAACGTCTTCGAATTCCCTAGCCTAGTTCGGGATCTCGGAGGGTGGAGGGGCGAAGTTCCTGGCGAAGGCTTCGGCCAGGCGCTGCAAGACGGTACTGCCAGCGCGTATCTCCTCTGCAGGGCGGAAAGACGTGTGCAGTCACCATCCTCAAGTTGGCCGTCGTCGTCATTGTCGTCAGAGTCTGGCATCAGATCAGGCAGATCGGAATCGCCATCGGAAATGGAATCGTCTCCGTCGTCAGGGCCAGACAGATCCATGGCGCAGACCAAGGGGAACAGGCCGGAGCGGAGTCGCTTCTGAAGTAGCCGGAGTCGCCGTAGCTCAGCCCGTTCAATGCGTTCTTCCTCGCGGCAAGTAGAGCAGCCGCGGGGGCACCGTGTCATCTTGACCTCCTTGGTTTCCCAATTGATCTCTGGGTTGTGCTTCCGCAGCCAGGAGTACCCCAGGATGAGGTCTTGTTTGCCAAGATGGGTGACGGCGAGTTGGACATGCTCGGAGTGACCCTTGTAGCGTAGGACCAAGTCCGCGATCTGGTTGATGGAGCCAGCATCATTTGGGGTGCCGTCGACGTTAAAGACCGGAATCGGTTGTGCCAGGGTACGGACCGGAATGCCATTCCGAGCGACATAGTTCGTGTCGATAAAGTCGGAGGTGGCACTGCAGTCAACAAGCCCAGAGAGGGAGAGCTTCAGCACACTGGTGGTGGACTCTAGCTCCAACGGGAGGTGGAGGGAGTTCACTCCAGGGGAGGCAGCGACAGTGTACTGCTTGGGCAATTTCTTTTCCCAGGCAGTGAGGCGGCGAAGGACTATGACCGGAGTCGCGGGCGGAGTCGGAGATGGAGTCGAAGCAGGGGTAGGAGAGGGTATGTCTTTTGTTTTGGCTTCGTTGTAGGGCAAAGAACTGCATTCATCATACAAAGAGGCAAAACGATTTATAGACGCGAACGAGGGCACACCAGTCACTCGTCGCGGGGGGCAAAATCCTCTCCGGCTGTCGACTCCGGCTGTCGACTCCGGCTGTCGACTCCGGCTGTCGACTCCGGCTGTCGACTCCGCGGCTGTTGATAAGCCGCATTTTGGAACACACACAGAAAACCACTATTTTCGCGCGTTTCATGGGTACAGCGCACGTCTAAGAGCTGGCATGAGTCCCGAATGGCCAGTTAGGGAGATATCTGTGAGGAGGCGCTTCGACTCGACCGTTGTTGACAGCAATTGGCCGTTTACAACGACTCTTACAACAACCAAAAACAACAGCAGAGCCCAAATAACATAGAGGATCCATCCAATCCTTTATATATACCAAAAGGGAATATACAATAAAAGGCATATTTGGTTTTGTGCGCGTTTGGGACTCGAACTCAGAACGCTCCGACGATGGTTCAACCAGGCTTCGAACGGATTAATCGCTGACAGCATTGGAACACGGTTTCGGATCTTTAGCAAGGACGAGGGCATGTGGAAGTGCGGTTAAACGGGAAACCTGACTCGAGGGAAACCAAGGCTTGGCTGCAGATCGCGGCGACCTTAACCCGTAACCGTCCAACCAAACAACTCGACAATAGATTGTGATTATCTCATTAGAGGAGTTGCCAAGTGGTGTCTGGAAGCTGGTCCCATGTTATGGGTATCGCTGGAAAGCTAGGAAGTCGAGTTACACGAAGATAACAACAACGGTTAGCGGACCGTTCACAAAAACGCATAGACAGTCGCAAGAAAGGAGGATTTACAAAGGTCATTGACACCAAACACGTGCTACCGGTCATCTGGACCTGGATTTTCGACTCTGGGCCTTATGGCAAAACGATACCTTACAAATTATGCACATGGACCATCATTCTGTTGTGGCGATTTACCTGATCTTATCATTTCTGTTTTAGTATTTATATCTCTGTTCTGTATTTGAGCGATTCACGGATTGCCCCGCGTTACTAGGTGCATCTGGGGATCTAGCTTGTCAATATCATCCTGCTAGCTCTTTTATCTCAGTAAAAGGCGTTGTGATTGAAGAGTCGAGGGTTCCGGTTGCCGTATAAAGAGTTTTGGTTGGCGTACATTTGGGTTCCGGTTGGCGGTCGAGAGTTTAAGGCAGTTAGTCCTGACTTGAGACGACTCCTTGGGTTTAAGGCAGTTAGTTCCTGATCCAAACAAGTATAAACGGTTCTGGGCATCGTATTGGCGCTTTCCTATTGCGGGATTTCATCGATAGTACACTTAAGAACAACCACAAAACGAAACAAGATTTCATTCAATCTACCCTACAACCTTGCACATCCGTGTACAGGCTCTGTTCCCAGGGTTCTGCACTCGTATTGGGAGACGGTTATTGGTGGTTATTGGGAGTTTGGAACGGTGTTGCACGGTTATCGCTCAGAACCGAACGACTATTTGGTTGTTTTGTTGTTTTGGGGTTTTAGTTGTGTAGTGTCGAGCTCATCTCTGGTTGCCCCCGGCCCGTCATCCACCCTCATCACCGTTTCCGGCAGCGCGGCTGTGTCGGAGTAGTGGGCGATCAACTCCGCTAACATCTCGTCTCCGAGTTGTTGGATCACCTCGTCGAGGATGTCCATTGAGGGGACATCCGCGGGGAGGGGGCAATCCCAGGCGAGATGGTTTGGGTCACAGTACTGTATTATTTAGATCAAGTGTCCGTGTTACATGTTACAATGACCAAAAAAACTCATTGTTAAAAAATTGCCTTAAATCAAAACAAATTTTTTTGGGTCCAAAAAATCAAAAAGTTGCAGACACTTGATCTAAATAGTACCAGTGTCTCTGGAGTTGTGTTGGATATTTCTAGGTATGGTATTCCATGTAGACAGACCTGCCGATTTGACTGCGGAATTCTATCCCTATCGAAGGTTAAAGTTTAATTATTAATTGACAGTGCACGTCACACAGAGCATCGCGCACGTGACGCGCACGTCACGCAGAGCGTTTCCTTTCACTTCCACGTCATGGCCGCAATCAACCCTCCGCCGCTCATCCCGGGCATGGCTGCGCCGCCTGCTTTGGTGAACCCTCCTACGGTAACGGACGCCAAGGTTGCTGAAGAGTATCATATCCGTATTGCGACTCAATGCCGTTGTAAGTGGCACAGGTTGTTTAGTTGCTTCCTCACCCTCACTGGTATCTTCAGTGCACGTTCCCGGATTTACAGATCAGATGTACATCGATTCGAAAATTTATTCGAATGAGGTGCTGGCTGCTGTTGCCCTGAATGCTGGTATGTCCAGGACTGGATGGTTTCTCGCTATTGACGGTGCCAGTCCCTCAGAATGTCGCCCTCGCCGGTGCTCCTCTGTGGGCACAGCAACTGAATGCCCGCATGGCTCAGGTCGACCAAAATGTCCAGCAAACCAGTCAACAGCTCCAGCAACAAATGCAACAGCTCCAGCAACAAATGCAACAGCTCGGCAACCGCTTCCAGCAAATTACCGATGTCGTGGACGACCTCAAGCTTATCGTTATTCGCGTATGTGCTTATATCCATACATTGACTCTCTTCTCACCTGGCCCAGGCTAGCAACATCATAAAATGCGGAGGTGCTCCCGGGAACGCTCTTGAAGTTATTCCGGTCCTTGACCCTGTTGTTGGGGCGGTCGTAAATCCTGATAATGTGTGTTATTCATTTGTAAACCACTGTTGATGACCATTGACTGTTTCCCATAGTTGTCTGCAGCTGCAGGCGGACCCTTGCCACTTCTCCTTGCGAGTGAAGATCCCCGGAATCTCACAGATGCAGAACTTCAGGCCTACCTGACAGGCTACAACTTGCAAGGGGCTGGGAACCGTGCTATTGATCAAGCGACTTTGATGCAGCACCTGGGTATTGTCTAGCTTATTGTACTGTATTCCCTTCTTGTTACTCAGCCTTTATCGCATAATTCGACTGTTCGTCATTGCCCCCCTACTTGTTGGCCCCTCATTCAACCACACCATTGCTCGCCATAAGCTTGCGCTCCTCCCTGCACAAGTAGTCAGACAGGCACCGAAAAGAGGCTATAGGTATGGCGGGACAGACAAACTCGAAGATAACCTCCGGTGGAACGTAAAGGCTCTCAAGGCAAGCCGCTCTTCAACTCGCCCCAGGCAGGAAGGTCAAAGAAGCCTGGGAGGTCGTCCCATCCCTTTTGTCTGCCAGAAACAAGCAAATCACCGATTTGCTTCTGGCAAGGGGCACATTGGCTAAATATGTTGGACTCCTGAGCGTTGAACGACATAAGAAAATAGCGGCAAGAGCCGTTGTTGATGCAGATCCGCAGTTTGTGGAAGCGCTCCTCGACGCACACTGGGAAGTTGTCGCAGGTGTCGAGACGAGGCGGTTTGGCCATCCAAGAGAAGATGTAGCCGGGCTGAAATTGGGCTTTTATGAGCCTGTCGAAGGCCGACATACAAGTTTGCAAACGGGCGGGCTTCAGATGGGCCACGGTCCCCGAAGGTCGAGCGGACCCCTTGACCCACTCCTTCTAAGGATGCGTGGGTGGTTGTTGACCCAAAATTGAGATACTAGGGTGCTTACCTTTGGGAGTCGAATGATTTCATAGTAGATAGCAGGGAGGCAACACTCGATGCCATTCTCTATAGCCAGCTCAAGGACGTCGAACAAGATGTTTGAGGAGAGAGCACCGGAGCTAGCGCTCTCGTATCGTACATGAAACTCCTCCAAGGACGACGGAAATCGACGATGCATCCACTTGACAGCAACAGTCCGAAGTTCACCAAAGTCGTATTTGGATCCCAGCCGGACGAGAGCCGCGACGATGGGGAAGGAGAGCGGCATTTGCGTTAGTAGCGTGCTGCTCTTCGTAAGTTCATGTCGCTTAGACATAATTTAAAACCACACACGGGGAATACAGAACTAAGAGCAGGTTTTTGACGTCTTCAGGATCGTCCTGAATTTCTACCAGCGGACAGCCATCCACTGTACGCGACTGCGTCTCCGGTTGTGGCATTTCATGCATGTCTCTGAACACCGTGGAGTGCGCCGCAAGAAGACCGAGATGGACGCGGAACTGTGTGGTTGCAGCTTGGAGAACAATACTCCTATCCTTATACCAGATTTCAGAGCTAACTATCGTATCCTCTTCTGTTCTCGGGCGTTTAGGCGCAGGAGGATCGGACGAGGACATTTTGTCGTTTGTGTCGGGACTCAAGCCATGTTAGGGCACGTGAGCAAAGATTGGACGTAAAATCAGTGGGTCTTGCCCTTCAGAGCTGGGCCACAAAGCTCAGGATTTTATAAAAACATTTGTATGTTCAAACATTGTTTTTGGCTTCAAAATTTTGTTTTCGGCGACTGCTGACAATCTCTCTCATGCGAACAATTTAAACTCAAGCATTTCTTCCAAACAGACCCAAATGAGGGGAGCGACAACTGGTAGACCCTTTTTTCTGGGCCCTCCAGCGCGAATTCATTGCAGGCGGGAGCGCACAAGTAGTCGTGCAGGCGCCCAAAAAAGGTACGTAGGTAGGTATGTAGGCGGGTAACTAAATACTGAACAAAAAAGTATTACATACGACAGAGAGAGAGAGAGAAAATGCTGGTTTTGGTTCTTCTATGCTGCAGCGGGGGCGGATCTCTCCTTGTCTTTTTTCGCTGCCTCCTGGGCAGCCTTGACGGCCTGCTTCTGTTCTTCAATCTCCTTCATCTGCTTCTCCAATTTCTCCTTCACGCTCGCGCCACCGCTGCCATTGAACGTGACGCTCTTGTTATGGCTCGCCGCTCCAATTGAGCCCGTCTCAGGATTCGGGACGCTGACGAGAGGCGCTGCAGCCGAAAGACCACGGTGGAACGAGTTGGGGAGCACACGGCCTTCGGGGTGCTTGAAGAGACAGTTGGCCCGCGTACAAGCAGCGCCAAAATGACAGGGTTGAGCGAAATGCGGATTCGAGGCATTCGATGGGTGGTTTGGTGGATGCGTGAATGTGCAACCGGTGCGTGTACACGCAGCACCAAAGCGACAGGGTACGCCTGAGGGCGGAGGATGAGTCACGTGTGGTGGAGGAGCATGATGAGCGGCGGGAGGTGGTTGTGAGGCGGCTGAAAAAAAGAAGTCAGTAGAGGACAAGTCTTATTCGGATCAACGCACCTTGCGGATTAAGAACGGCGGGACTGACATGAGCCTTGACGCAGTCTTTGTCTTTACATTCTTTCCCATTCTCGCAGGCCTCGTTACTCAGAACGACGCCAGTTTCTGCAGTTGCGACTGGAGAAGGATGCGACCACCGACAATGTGCGTTGCTGCATTTGACACCAAACTTGCATAGTGTGGGCGATTGCGGTCGTTCAGGAAGTATATACCCAGTCAAACCACCAGTCGGAGCAGGGGCAACCGCTGGGGGAGGAGCTGGTGTCGGCGCGACAATAGGTATCGCTGCGTTTTCTGCAGCCATTGGTTTTGGTCCAGATGAAGGTGGCCCACCACGGCCACGCCCTCTTCCGCCACCCCGCCCTCTCCCATTTTGAGGCCCTCCGTGAAACCCTCCCTCCATTCCAGGCTGTCCTTGGAAAGCAGCTGGGTCATTGAATCCACCGCCAAACTGGCCCGTCGCTGGATTGATAATGCCCATCGTCGAAGCCATTTGCGCCATAAGCGCCATTTGGTTCATCATCATCTCTTGCAGCATCAAAGGGTTCACCATCCCGTTCATAACACTCATGTCCATGACCATGGGAAACCCTGCACTCATCATCATCGCCTGCTGTTGCTCGGGAGTCGGGCGACGGGTTTCCAACAATGGTGTCGATGTGCGACTGAATTTCGTCCTGCCCAAAGCTGTTTCTCCGTCCGCCAACACGGTCAATGAGGCTGCGAGGATTGCCTTCGCGCTGCATCGCTCTTGGGCCTGTGGGTAAGTCGGTCCTACGCATCTTGTGGGCATGGTTGGGTGAAGGAGAGCGAGCAGAGGCGGCCCGTTTTTGTCCTGAGGAAGGGAGAGCTTGGGAGAGAGCCTGCTGATAAATACCATTGCGGGGAGGACGGCGAGCCGACGAGTCATTCGCTGGCGGTGGCACCGAGGCGACTAATTCAGCAGGCTGTTGAGGGCCAGTCTGGGCTGGCGCAACAGGCTCTTCGGCGCCTTTCTCAGCCTCGGCGAATAACCAATCCGTGAAACTGGCGTCTGCAGTCATAGTTAGTTGTTTGGCGAGGTCGCAAGAGAGACCAAAACACACCAAAATCCGATCCTATTACTGCGAGAAAGCATATTAGTAACCAAACGCCTTTCCTAGCAGCTACCATCGCTCACAGTCTTCGAGTTCTCCCGTTATTTGCTCTGTCGTTTCGTGGTCAGCTGAAGACGCCACGCCAAACGCGCATACGCACCAGGAGTCTTGTCATTTATAACCATTATAGTGATGTATTCAGCCATGACAGGGTCTGCGGTGAGTGAGTAGGTGGAGGGGGCCATTGTGGACAAGGCTTGCGAACCTGGATCGGGACTATAATTCCGCCTTGTGAGCTCATCCTGAATGGATTGCTGGAAAACGTGTCAGACAGAAGTCTCCAGAAAGGACATGAAAACACACTTGGAGTGCAGTCGCGCGGTCCGTTCCAATAGCTAAACCGAACGGCATATCGTCAACCAGGACAGAGTGTGGATGTCACACGTGACATCCACAGGAAGACTCCGTCCACTTTGAAAGATAAAACTTTGGCAGATGCTTGCGCTGTAACCTGCAGCGGTCTGAGCTCGATATTCGACTGACAAAAAGTTTCGTTCGAAGGGAATCAGGCTCATCATACTTGCCAGCTATTGAGTCGATCCTGCTCTTCAATTTTACCTGGCGCCAGAAAGGCAAACCATCCTCGGTTTCTCGTTTTTGTGGGACGCCATACGAGCTCTGAGTCATATTTGGCTGCACTTGGCGCGATTTCTCGACCATCATCATTCCCGGCACTCTCTATACCACTGGCGCACTCCGTTCTCTCGGTCCATGACATACTTTGTCACCTTCATCTACTCGTTTGCTCTTGCAAACCAGATCAATGGTGTTCCAGAGGATCAAATCAACAAACCCGCCGCCCAATTGTGTCTGGCTTGAAGTTGGGGTGTCCCGATGGGCCACCACCTGGGTAAACTGCACGATATTTGTTGCCTGGCTCCGTAATCAAATTGAAAGATTTCTCGACCTTCTCTCCCTTTTTTTTCTTGGGCAGAGCAGGCAGAGATCCGGACAGCGTATTCGGGAGGGGAGTTGATGAATCCGGTGCGGTCAACAAGCTCTGTTCAGCGGGGACAGAAGGATAGTCGATACTTGGTGTCGATGGGCCCGCTGCAGAAGGCAAGTTGTCGTTATTGGGGCTCGCTAATAGCGTTGCAGAACAAGAAGAGGGCTCGAGAACTGTAGTTGATTGGCCAAAGCCGTCAGTTATCGGGGTTGACTGGCCACCGTTCGTGTCCGCCAACAGCGCCACACCACTGGAAGGGCCCTGCACCTTGGATTTGAGCTTCAATTTGGGCTTGGGCTTCGGTTTTGGCTTCGGTTTTGGCTTCGCTTTCCTGGGCGCTTTCGAGGTTGGTTTCGAGGTTGCGTCCAGGTTGAAAGAAGCTGAAACAGCAGGAATTGGGTCTGGGGAGGCAGATACTGATTCTTGAGCTGGTGTTGCTGTCCGCGCAGCAACTGTGGCTGCCGCCGCTGCCGCCGCCGCGGCTTTAGAGGCTTGGTTGACCCTTCGACGTTCCTCACGAGGTAACTCGTACGTCTGTACACTGGCAGTCTCTCGAGCAAATCGTCGGATGGTAGCCAGAAGATTGGTGGTTGCAGTCCTGAATAACTTGAGAGTTGTCGTGGTATGCATCCTAAGTTTCGCATATCCGTGCCAGAGGACGAGTTCGAAGCATAGTCGATCAATGAGCTGCTGGTGAAGAGGAAACAAGCCGTCGACCACAGGAAGGATGCACTGAAAAGCTGCGATAGCGTCAGAAGACCATCACCACCAAAACATATTCAGCTTGCCGTTGATCAAACTCATCGACCTGTTTGAATGTCTGAAGCATCCGGATTAGATGAGTGATTATAGCTTTAGCAACCCCAAGTTCGACTTCATGGAGCAGGTCCGGGACAAACATAGTGTAGAAATTGAAGGGAGTCTTGGCCGTGTTAAGCTTTGAAAAAGCATTCTGCACCCAAATTAGTATATGTTGAGCCAAACGACAGAGACGCACACGAACGGGAACCCAGGAGTTCCCTTTCAGCATTTTATCGACAGCTGAATTCGAGCCACCGATAGCAAAGCCATTATCAAACGCAGCGCGACGCGCATCCTCGATAGTTTGTTGTCGAGGATGATCATCGATTCGAATTGATTGTCGCCGCTTCATGTCATTTGCGGTACCAGTTTCAGAGATTCGTCGTTTCTCGATTAAACAGCGCGGACAAGGGTAACTGCCCATACTCCGAATGGTAGCGAGCAGAACTCTATCGGAAGTGAGTCTTGGACTGGAAAAAACACAGAGACTCAGACTTCTCAGGATAATCCGCGCCATAGATAAAGAATCGGGGGAAGACCAGACGAACAATTCCGTCCCAACATCGGATTTTGATACCGTTGTCGTAGGCATCGAGGAAGTCGTCTGAAAGAAGGAGCTCCCAGATACGGTGCATCAACTCGCGTTTCAGGTGCTTGTAGACTTCATCCGACATGTTGCAGCCGTAATGTGTACGATATGTGTCCCGGATGGAGTCGGGAAGCTGCAAGACTGTGAGTTTGCGAACAAAATAGAGCAAATTATATACAGTGGCAAAATATACTTGATGGAAACCAGCATTTGACGAAGGCCTGGCTCGAAATTCCTTGGGATGATTGCCAAAGAACGTATATCCAGGCCAAAGCGAAGCTGTGCCGAATTGAGCAAGATGTGTAGCGTCCGACCATTCCATTATGGCCATTACCATGCTTTCCACAGGGTCGTCAGGGGATTGGGGAGGGCTAGGTTGTGGAATGGCTTTGTACGCTTCGAGCATTGCGGCAGAGGTGTATATCTCGCCAAATACCTCTTCGTGACTGGGACAGAGGCTGGTAAGACCATGCTCATTTAAAGGAGGTTCAGCATCATCCAACACAATACAGGCCTACCCGGGGAAATGAAGCTTCATATCTCTGACAGTTGTCAGAGCTGTCATGAAGCTTTGTTATTGGCAGCTTACCAGAGGTTCCCCCAACAGCATATCAAACGTACCTTTTCCCTCACCCAAACCCTAACCAAACACTAACCAAACACTAACCAACCCTACCCAAACACTAACCAAGCAACGGTCGGTAGTGTATATCGTGGACCGTGAATTGGGGAGCATCAGACTCTTTTTGAGAGTGTCCAGCACAGGGCAATCTAAGCTGAACGCTGCCCGAAATCCACTTGTCGGTGACACCCAGAGGTTCTATTCCTCTCTTGTCGAGTTCGTCCAGAAATTTCTTAGTCGAAAATGGTTGAGGAAGGTCACCCAGGTTAACGCCATCAGACTCCGCTTCCTCGTTGGGTTGAAGTAAGTATGTTGGAAATTAATCGGTCAAATGCGCCTATAGAACCAGCATTTTCTTCTTCAATGTGGTATTTCATCAAATGTGCGACCGACGCGTTTGGGAAGGGATAATACCACGGCTCTCGAGGCAAGGGTAGATCCTCGGGATCGAGTTGTGTGGCTTGCGGCGCACGATAGAGGTCGTTGGTCGTTATAAGCTCGTCCGGGTCATGGGTGGGCCGTTGAGGATAGACTTTATAAAGTCCAAATCGGTTTGGCTCAGTCCGGATCCATTTCTGAGGTTCAGGTTTGGGGACGTGGACGGGATCAGAGACTGGAGCAGCTTGAGAAGTGGGTGCCGACGGCAATGGCTGGATACGACGAAGACGTGGGGGGGGGGCTGCATCGTTCAGTTTGGCAGGAGCACGTCGCTTTTGGTTAGGCAGGCCACTTGGCCGACGCAGAGGAGGTTCTGGAGAAGGTTCTGCAACAACTTGTATCTGTGGTCGAATAAATGAAGATCCATGCTGCAGAGAAGAAAACATGCACAGCGGCCACAACCGGCAGGCTTGGAGGGGGCGGCGGTTGGGCTGCGAGTCTTTGGTGAACGTGCGCAACAGACTGGAGGTGCAGGGCCTTGAACCCAGAACAAGTTCGGTCGTGGACTCGCTTGGCCTCTGCGAGATTCCGCAGAGGCTTGTGGCAATGCTCACACTGGTACTTCGCCGGGGTGCTGAGTGACGCTGGCCGCCTCCAAGCCTATCCCTCCTCGAATCTCTCTCGCACGTATCTTCTTCAACTTCAAGTTCGAGTATAGTTGATTCCAAGCAAGGGTTGATCACGTAATCGTTGATGGAGACCACCGCTTCTACTGGTGATGGGACATGAGACATGAGACAGCTGTCTCATGGGGAACTGTGGAAATACCCGGGGGGGCATGTAGATATCCACCAGGGTGATAGTACCTTCTCTCCCTGGTTGTTCACAGATGAACACATGGTTCTAATGTCTTTCCCCCATGGTACTGCTCACATTCACCCCAGGGGATTTGACTAAAGTACCCATGTGGAAATGATCAGTCGCCCTGGGTTGTTCACAGATGTCCCCATGGGTTGTTCACAGATGTCTCCATGGGTTCTAATATCTTTCCCCCATGGGTTCTAATGTCTTTCCCCATGGTGTACTGTTCACATTCACCCCAGAGGATTTGGCCAAACCACCATGTGGGAATGATTAGATTCTCCAGGTGTTGATATTCAATGTCCACATTGGGTAGAAACTTTCTCATTTCCAAATATATATATTTTCATGATAACACTGGCAGAATTGATTCAAAGTCAATATACAAGAAACCTGTTGCTTTATAGTACTAGTATATCATCCAGGTAGACTTTGTTGTAGTAAAAAAAAAATTGATTCAGAATAAATACATATGTGTCATATTAGCCTGTAGGTTATGAGCTGATGAATTCAACTCTTAATCATTCTAGCTTGGTCTATATGTCTGACTGTTGCTTATATTATTAGTTCTTTGGATTCAAGCTCGTAAGGATGTTAGGATTGTTGCTTTTTTAAATTTTCAAATTAAATAATTGTCACCCTAAGTATCATAGCTCTTTCACCTAGGGTGACATTGATATTGGCCCCAGGTTGACACAATTACTTACCCCGGGTCCTCTGGTTGTTACCCTGGGTATGATGTGTCTTTTACTTATAGTGATGGCCAGGTTTGGTCCGGCTTTTCGGTTCGAACCCGAACTTAACCGGACCGAACCGAGGTTCGGCATTCACGTTCGGCCAAAACGCTTTTTGAACCGAACCTGAGCTCGGGTTCGGCCGGGTTCGGCCTTTTTTGCCCCAAAAAGGCCGGTTCAGGACCGGTTCGAACCGGAGTTCGGCGTTCAGGTTCGCCAAATGCGGCTTTTGAACCGAACCGGCGGTCCGGCGTTCGGCCAAAATGGGCCAAGAACCGGACTGAACCGGACTTGGCCATCACTATTTACTTAGGGTGATGTTAGTATATGCCCTGGGTCTCAGTATTCACTTGCCCAGGGTCTTATAGTTGTTGCCCTATGTATGACAGATATCTCACCCAGGGAGATGTTAGTGTACACCCTAGGTGCTGGTGTTGACTCACCTAGGGGGCTTCTGGCTCTTACCCTTTGTATAAACCTTTGTTCACTCTAGGCAACTTGTTAATATTGTTATAAGACAACCTATAAGAGCAACTCTGGAGGCCTGTGTTGAAATGTGATCCTACGCGTCGTTATCTCCTCAGCCCCTATTATTTCCCATATATATATGTCCTGTTTTCCTATGATATCGTAGCCCTTTGTAACGCCCCTCCTCATTGGAATATATCCCTTTGGGCTCTCGTCTCCTCCCTCCACTCAGTTCCAACAGCCTGTATCAGGGGAACCCCTGCTTCAGCCTTCTTTGGACTGTCCGAGCACATCTGAGGTATATCTGTCAGACTGCAGGTCAGGCTGTGCAAGGACCTCTCCTAAAATGTGCGCCTGGAACAGAACAGACGGATAGTCGGGCCTGCAAGTACGGCGAGCGGGGTAGATCAAACAGCTCATTCACTCAGAATTGCTAGCAAAATCTGAGCTACTGGTCAAGGGTGTTACTCACAAAACCTGGGGGACTGCCCAAGGGTCACAAATGTCACACTTTTTGAAAACTTATTTTATTCATATTTAGGTGGTAGATCATGATATTGATGATGGAATTGATGGCATCTAGATAAAGTAATTGATGTGGAACGATTTTTGATTGACATCAGTGCTTTTGATGGCTCTGTCAAGATACATCAATTTCGACCCAATTAGGATGTATACCTTTGCCCTGCATCACAAGCCTACCTAGATATTTATCCGGGTCTTCGGCCTGAAGAAATGGTGATTTGCCTTTCCATATCTGGTAATAGCTTAGTCATAGCTATCAAACTCATTGAGATATTCACAATTGATTGAATGTCACATTTTCCTGTCACAGCATCCCGTTTGGGCTTGCCCAGTTTTGCGAGTAACACCCTTGACCAGTAGCCCAGGTTTTGCTAGCAAAACTGACTGCCTATCCTGGATCAAAATCGAAAGGGCCTGTGGACTTGGTCCCTTGTCACTATCAGTGGTCGAAGGTTCGAATTGGGTTGTGTTGGGCCCGATGGGTCGATGGTACCTCCTTACACGGAGTAAGGTAGTTCTTCAGACGATCTAAGCGATAGAGTACATGGTACACTATCGCGCCTTATATACGCGGGCCCGCCAAGGGGTGATCGGACACCCTGGCCTCTCCTGCTCCTTCTCGCCCCCATTCCTGGCCGCAGAGGGGACGATCGTACATCCCTTGCGGGCCAGGCGCTACTCCTAACCTCCTAGCACTCCTCCCCAGTCCCCTGGTGTCGAGTTGGGCTCGGCAACGGCTCGACGCATCGTTCTCGGTCACGTGCTTCCCACGTGTGCGTTCCTCCTACTGGGGCAACACTACAGTATTATATACAACAAGATTGCTCATAAAAATAATAATAATAATAACAAAAGCTCAATTAGACACTTTGCGATTCCCACCGGGAGCCACCCGGTGGCTAAAAATCGTTGCGAGATCCGGTGGCTCCGGTGGCAGTGTAAGATAATCGATCTTGATCTCGACGACCATGGAGAGACTACTGCTAGAGTCCTCTGTCTCATTTCACACCCTTGTCAGGGGAACCCCCGCTTCGGCCTCCTTCGGACCCTCCGAACGCATCCGAGGCGCATCCGACCGGCGCCCCCTCGGACGCCTCCGACCCACCCCGACCATCGTCCACGGCCTCCTTCGCCCCCGCACAATCACCGATCCGTCAAGACCCTCCCAACGATCACCTTGGGACAGAGCCTGCGACGCCGCTCAGGCCTTCTGCGCTCTACGTCGGCAGTTACGGACGATCAGTATATAGTTGGCGCCCTAGCAGGCAGACCCTTAGAGTTTCTTCTCTTTGGATCCTCCCCTGCTAGGTCGGTCCCTCCGTGTATTTCCCGTAGCTTTTATTCATGCTTTGGATCCTCCCCTGCTAGGCTTTCGTCGGAGTCTCCAGGGTTGCCCTTACAGCAGAAGAAACTCTCTACGGGATTAACCGGTCAAGATTGCCAGGTTTGGCGCTGATTCAGGCTCGGAGTACGAGTCCGTACCCCCCCTCGTCACCGCCCCTGCCACTTGACCCCTCCTCCTCTGCTCTTGTCGTCTTTACGCCCGCTATGTCCACCTGAGCTGCTCCGGACGCTGACGCGCATGGACGCCACTTGAGGCGAAACTAGACAACCTCACCAATATCCTCACCCACCTTGCTTCCCAGGCTTCCGCTGCCGCACCACCTTCGGCAGCTCCCGAACCACCTTCGGCATCTCCGAATGCCCCCGACGGGATGCGTTATTTGGTGATATTACTGTCGCCTCAAAACTGGTCTTACGACCAAACCCTCCGTTTGCGTTTAACGGAGATCGCAAACGCGGCCGCGCCTTTCCTATACGCGGTCAAGACCTACGCTCGGCTTGCCCCGGAGGCCTTCGTGGTCAACGGAGAGCCGAGCGAAGAAAAGGCCGTCCGCTACGCCATGTCCTATATGGCGGAGGGGCCTGCTCAGCAGTGGGCAGAGCGTCATGGGAGCAAAACCCCCTTCCCCTTCCCTCGGTGGAACCTATTCCTCTCCGAGTTTCGCCTTGGTTCGTTGAGGAGAACAAGCAGGACCTTGCGCTTGCCAAATTGGAGAGCGCGGGTTATCACATGGGAACGCGGGATGTCTACGGATACACCGACGACTTCGAGGACCTAATGGACCTCGCCGGATTCGAAGACGCGTTGGTTAAGGTGACCAAGTACCGCCACGGACTTGACCCCCTGATCAACAACGGCATCACGTCTTCGAACGACCCCCCAGACCTCCGTGACTATCTGGGCTGGCGCACTCGGGCTTTCCGCCAATACGAAGCCTTGGTGCGGGCGAAGCTCATCAAAGGGACCACCCCGCGGACGCCTTCGGGGGGCTCCGCGTGGCGCATTCCCTATCGCCCGTTCGGCAACTCCGTTCCCCATCCGCCCGGTGGCCGCACCTGCGCCACCCGCGGCCCGCGCCCCGTCCCGGCACCTCCGGCTCCCGTCCCTATGGAGTTGGATCGTACTAGGGCTCGGGGCCCCTCGTCGAGCCTGCTTCAGATGTGGCGACCCCAATCACTTGGCTCGGGACTGTCCGCTCCCCGCCGATGTTCGCCATATGGACATCCTCGACGAGGTAATCCAGCAACTTGGCGATGAGATGCTGGGAGAGCTACTTGCGCGGTTGTCCGACACCGCGGCCTTAGCAGAGGCGCATTCGGAGGCTCCGGCAGAGGATTTTGTCCCCGCGACGAGTGACTGGTGTGCCCTCGTTCGCGTCCATAAATTGTTTCACTTGTTTGTATGATGAATCAACTCCCTTGCCCTACAACGAGCCTGAAACGAAAGACGCACCCCCTGCCCCCTCCGAAGCCCCCGTTCGGATTCGCCGACTTGCCTGGGAGAAAAAGCTACCTGGCAGCTATACCATCTCTGCCGCTCCTGGGGTTAACTCGCTCCACCTTCCTCTTGAGCTTGAGTCCACTGCGAACGCACTCAAGCTCTCCCTCTCAGGTCTGGTCGACTGCGGAGCCACTTCGGACTTTATCGACACAGAATACGTCAATCGAAACAACGTGCCGGTCCGAAATCTCTCAGTACCCATACCGGTCTACAATGTCGACGGCGAACTCGGAGCTCCTTCGGACCCTCCGGAGCGCTCACCAGATCTTGACGACGACGAGCATCTTGAAGACGGCGACCGCATCTTCTACACCTCCTTTCGCCCAATCGAGGAGATTCGCGCTGAGAGCACCGTGTCCCAACGCCTTGCAGAGGCCTTCGCCCGTAACTCGGCCCCCCGCCTTGGAGATTCCGGACTGGGCCAAGGAGTTCCAAGACGTCTTTGACAAGGAGTCCTTCGACACGTTACCAGAGCGGAGGGCTTGGGACCACGCCATCGAACTCGTTCCCGACGCGAAGCCCGCTAATTGCAAGGTGTATCCGATCTCCCCCTTGAACAGCGCGAACTTGACGAGTTCATCGAGGAGGGACTTGCCACAGGCCGTATCCGCCCTTCGAAATCTCCGATGGCTTCCCCCGTCTTCTTCGTTAAGAAAAAGGACGGAGGACTTCGGTTTGTCCAGGACTACCGCGCCCTCAACGCAATGACGATTAAGAACCGGTACCCCCTCCCGTTGATTAATGACCTTATCAACAGGCTTAAGGGCGCCCGTTACTTCACCAAACTCGACGTTCGCTGGGGGTTTAATAACGTCCGGATTAAAGAAGGAGACAAGTGGAAGGCGGCCTTTCGGACCAACCGAGGGTTGTTCGAACCTTTGGTGATGTATTTTGGCCTGACGAACTCCCCCGCGACTTTCCAAACGATGATGAATGACATTTTCCAGGATCTCATTCTCTCAGGAGACGTCATGATCTACCTTGACGATATCCTTATCGCACATTCGGACCTCCGTAAGCACCGCGAGATCGTCCGCGAAGTTCTTCGGCGACTCCGAATGCACAAGCTGTACCTTCGCAAGGAGAAGTGCGACTTCGAGAAATCGTCAATCGAGTACCTGGGGGTTATCATCTCTCACAACCACGTCGAAATGGATCCCGTTAAGGTTGCCGGAGTCTCCGCATGGCCTCCGCCCGAGAACAAGAAGGAGGTCCAGCAGTTCCTGGGGTTTGCTAATTTCTACCGCAGGTTCATTCGGGATTTCTCGGCCCTAGCGCAACCTCTCTTCGCTCACCAAGAAAGACCAGAAATGGGCCTGGGAGAGGCCCGGCCGCCGCCTTTCAAGCTATCAAAGACGCGGTCGTCTCAGAGCCCGTCTTAGCGATCCCGGACGACTCCCGGCCTTTCCGACTTGAAGCAGACAGCTCAGATTATGCGACGGGGGCGGTTCTTTCACAACAATCCGCCCCGGGACGGGAAGTGGCACCCTGTAGCGTTCTATTCCAAAAGCTTAAATGATGTCCAGCGCAACTACGAGATTCACGACAAGGAGATGCTCGCGATCATCCGTGCACTCGAGGAGTATCGGCATTTCCTCGAGGGCGCCGCGCATCCGGTCGAGATCTGGACTGACCATAAGAATTTGGAGTATTTCCGAAAGGCACAGCACCTTAACCGTCGGCAAGCCCGATGGTCGTTGTACCTTTCTAGGTTTGACTTCACGCTGCACCACGTCCCAGGTCGCCAGATGGGCCGCCCCGACGCCCTCTCCCGTCGGCCTGACCACGGCATCTCCGAGGACAACTCGGATGTTACCCTCTTACGCCCGAACTGTTCCATGTTCGCGCTTGAGGCCGTCACCGTCTCTGGGCCTGGCTCCGAACTTGTCCGCGACATCAAGGAAGCACTATCCGGTGAGCCTGACCTAGAGGAGCCCGTCGCGCTTGCGGCCCGGCAACTCTTGAAGGTCCGAGGTCAAGTTCGGGGCCCCGCTCATCACGTTCGGACGAATGGGCCGTCTCCGGCGACCTCCTGTACTTCCGCGGCAAGGTTGTAGTCCCTAAAGACAAGGACCTAAGGAGGCGCATCATCGAGCTCTGCCACGATACGCGAGTCGCCGGACACGCCGGGCGGTTCAAGACCTTAGAGTTGGTTTCGCGCAACTACTGGTGGCCGCAGATGTCGTCACTGTAGACTTCATCGTCGAGCTGCCCGAGGCCCATGGGTATGACGCGGTTATGGTAGTGGTCGACGCCCTCGGAAAGCGTGCCCACTTCACTGAGTGCCATACGACAATAGACGCGGTCGGAGCTGCCCGCTTGTACTATCGGAACGTCTGGAGGCACCACGGAACCCCGAGAAGTACATTTCGGACCGTGGCTCGCAGTTCATCGCTGACTTCATGCGCGAACTCTGGCGCTTAATTGGCGTCAAACCGGCTACCTCCACGGCTTACCACCCGCAAACCGACGGACAAACCGAGCGCGTTAACCAAGAGCTCGAGCAGTACATCCGGATCTTCACCAACTACCAACAAGACGACTGGGACGAGCTTATCCCTGCTGCTGAGTTCGCCTATAACAACCACGTTCACTCCTCCACTCAACAGGTACCCTTTATGACTGACACTGGTCGGCTCCCCCGAATGGGTTTCGAGCCAGGCGCCCGCTCAGAGTTGGAGTCGGTAAACGAAGTTTCGCGATCGGATAGCTAACGGCGTCTCCGAGGCAAAGGCCGCACTCGTTAAAGCCAAAGACGAGTATAAACGGTACTACGATCGGAAACGTTCGGACGCTCCGAAGATTCAAGTTGGTGATAAGGTTTGGTTGGACGCCTCTGACATTAGAACAACTCGGCCCTCCGAGAAGTTCTCCCCACAAGCGCCTTGGACCGTTCAAGGTGCTCGCAGAGGTTAGCAAAGGTGCCTACAAGCTAGACCTCCCCCCGCGTTACTCCAAGCTCCACCCCGTCTTCCCCGTTGTTAAGCTCGAGCCCGCTCAGGACGACCCCTTCGATGGACGACCCGGCTACGACGAACCGCCCCCCGAACTAGAGGACGGAGTTCCCGAATGGGAAGTCGAGGAAATCTTGGATGCCAGGATAAGGTATAAGCGTCTTAACTATTTCGTCAGGTGGAAAGGCTACGATGCTTCACACGACTCGTGGGTTCGGTTCGACCGTGTCTTTGCGCCAGACAAGATTGCGGACTTCTATCGGAGATACCCGGGTAAACTACGGCACATCGCCTCAGCAACCTTCGACTCGCTGCCCTTCCGTATTATGCGTCGGGACGCCGCATTCAAAGGGGGGTGATGTCAGGGGAACCCCGCTGGCCTCCTTCGGACCCTCCGAACGCATCCGAGGCGCATCCGACCGGCGCCCCCTCGGACGCTCCGACCCACCCCGACCATCGTCCCACGGCCTCCTTCGCCCGCACAATCACCGATCCGTCAAGACCCTCCCAACGATCACCTTGGGACAGAGCCTGCGACGCCGCTCAGGCCTTCTGCGCTCTACGTCGGCAGTTACGGACGATCAGTATATAGTTGGCGCCCTAGCAGGCAGACCCTTAGAGTTTCTTCTCTTTGGATCCTCCCCTGCTAGGTCGGTCCCTCCGTGTATTTCCCGTAGCTTTTATTCATGCTTTGGATCCTCCCCTGCTAGGCTTTCGTCGGAGTCTCCAGGGTTGCCCTTACAACCCTACTTACAGACCTCCTCGATGCACGAGATCAAGAGTGGATTAACCGCGAGGGAAGGTTCCGGCCGGGCGGCTGAGTGAATCTTGATACCTGGGGAAGTGATATCTGGCGTGAGCAGTTCAGGTGAAGGATTCCAGTGTCATTTGAGGCAGTATTGATGGAGGGAACAGGTTCACCAAGCAGGAAGTTCAACAGCTCGTTGTGGCTTTAGATTTGCCAGAGGTTATCAAGTGTCCCGAATCAGGTAACGTTGAAGACAGCGTCTCGGCACTTTGCATGCTACTCGCTCGTCTGGTACACTTGTCCAGGCTCTCTGATGTCGAGATGCAATTTGGATGGGAACGCTCTCGGTTTTCTCGCATCACCCGACTTACGGCTTTGTTTCTGTGGGATCGATGGAAGCATCTTTTGCGTTTTGACCCTCGCCGACTCACACGAAAGCTTGCTTACTTTGGCACTATACTGCAACTACGGGGTGCTCCCATGGATTGTGTTGTTGCACTGATCGATGGAACCCTGCGTAAAACGGCACGTCCAGTCAAGAATCAACGACTTCTGTACAACGGCTGGAAGCGGTTCCATTGCCTCAAGTATCATGCTCTGCTGACACCCGATGGGATTGTGGTGCATGTATACGGGCCAGTCGAAGGCCGTCGCCATGATGAAACAGTCTTCCAGCAAAGTGGCCTCATGGAAATCCTTCAAGCCCACTTCTACAAACCAAATGGAGACCCGTTGTTCATCTACGGCGATCCCGCTTACAGCGTTGCACCTCACATTCTATCTCCATACCGTGGCGCTGCACTCACAGCTGGCGAGGCCAAGTTCAATCGTGCCATGAGTACTTGCCGCGAACCAGTCGAGTGGAGTTTTAAAGAGGTCATACAGCAATTCCCTTTTCTCGACTTCTCCCGAAACCAGAAAGTCCTCCTTTCGCCCTGTGGACTGTACTATCTGGTTGCACTTTTACTGGGCAATGCGCATACCATTGTCCACCGCCCTCAAATTCCTCAATTCTTTGACTGTGATCCACCTTCGCTACAAGAGTACTTCACTGGCGGACCAATTGTTGATGAAGAACTGGACAGCTGGTGCTTGGATAGTCCTTGGGTAGAGCTTCCGGATGGAGATGAGGATAGTCCGGATGAGGATGATGACCGTCCAGACAACGAGACAGATGATGAAGAAGAAAGAGACTGATTTGAACGAATTTAGGATACAAACATGAACGCTGTATGAATTAGTCCTTTTTCATGAGAGTCATCATCATTGCATTGTAGCGCTCGCTCTCGGCCAATCGACGTTCAGCCTCCCAACGGCCCCGCTCAGCCTCATCGTTGCGTCACTTCGTCTCTGCCTCAGCTTGTTCCCTCTGCATGTTCATCAGCATTGCCTGTGCCTCTGCAAGCTTCCCAAGCCCCGCAACCATTTGATTCTGTAGCGCCAACGACCTCTCCTGATACTCCACAGTGTCGCCATGTCGTCACTCGTCCAGCGCACGGGCTTCCCGAAGAAGCTTTGCATCGTCCTTTGCGCGATTTTCGACGATTTCCGTAAGCTGGTTGCGCTTACGTTTGGGTTTGGGCTGGGTTTCATCGTCGGTGAGGTTTTCCTTGTCTGAATCAGACGATGAACGGCGTCGTCTAGTTTTCAATCAGATGAGGTGTATAGAGATGTTATAACGCACTTTCGCTGGCCCTGCTTCTCACGCACACTCGCACCTTCAAGACTTGAGACATCCGTCAGATTCTCTCGTCGGACTAGGCCCTTCATTGCCGCATCTTGTAGCTGAAGCGCACCCTGTGTCTCCACGTCCTTCTTCTTGTGTGCCACGGACGATTTCTTGTGTTTAGCTTCCGTCTGGCTATCGAGCAGCTCGGCGATATGTGTCAGGAGCTGTACATCGTTAGAAAGCCATACGGTAGTACGGAGGTAGAAACATACCTTAATATGCTCGTCTACCTCTTCGTTGGTTCCAGTCTTCTGTTTAGAGCGTGTCTCGTTCCTCTGTAGACGCTTGAGAAAATGAAAATTGAAGCTACTATTGACCCACCTTGTGAGCTGCGATGAGCAGTCGGAAGCGAGCACGATATGCCTCCGCAGTTTGGTCCACCAGCCTACCATTCCGTGTTGTCGCAGTGAGAAGATTGACGCACACGCGCTGCCAAGCAGCAGTAGTAGCCTCGCCTCGATCGCATTCGAATGGGCGGACATCGTCAATGGTTTGGATCAAGGCTCTGTCGTGCCACGGAAGCCAGTTGGGCGAGCGGGCGTTGCGGACAGCGGTCAACAAGGGACTCTGGGCGAGCACATCGCTGTCATTGTCGCTGTCGCTGTCGCGTCGTTGGCTTCGTCGTTGCTGTCACTGTCGCTGCTTTCCTCCCTGCCTGCGTGATTGGTGTCCGGCGTGAGAGGCTCTGGCCCAGGGGTCGGAGAGTGGGAAGGGGAGTACGAAGGGATAAAGGGCGATTGTCGTTCATCTTCGGGGCTGAGCGGGTCGCTGGGAGGACTATACAGGTGCCTAGAGTCGAAGCCGGGGTCCTCGGCACCTCGAGACGACGGAGCCGCTGACTTCTTGGCCCTGGAGCGCTTCCGTGGGGAGTTGGCTGGGGAATACAGCGGTGGAGGACTGGGTAGCCCAGCAGCGCGACGTTGGCGTCGTGTTTGGAGGCTCATGTGGTCGTATGAGAGAGGAAAATAAATGGTGATGTCATTGACACGTCATTAATTTAGCCACCGGAGCCACCGGATCTCGCAATGATTTTTAGCCACCGGGTGGCTCCCGGTGGGGATCGCAAAGTGGCTATTATATCAAGTAAGAATAGTTATCATTAGTATTCACACCAGAAAAACATTATAGTATATTCTGTTATTAGAATACAACTATATAGGAATTAGACTTGTATAATCTATAGGCTTCTTATATCCCGCTGGGCATGTTGCAGACATCCCCCAGGGGGACTAGTTGCTTTTGCCCCAGGGGGAAAGACATTAGAACTATGTGTTCATCTGTAAACAACCAGGGAGAGAAGATACTATCACCCTGGTGGATACCTACATGCCCCCCGGGTATTTCCACAGTTCCCCATGAGACAGCTGTCTCATGTCTCATGTCCCATCACCAGATCAAGCGGTTTTCTGCGTTGATGCGTGGACTTGGACTCGCGATCTCTCAAGCTCAAGCGGTTCAAATTTATTTAACCGGGAAGTAGAAGCCAACAATAAATGACGATCTAAGGAAGAAGGTATCAGAGAGCCCATTGAGCTTGCGACGCAAGGAGTGGTGACGCTGAAGGCAACAACACCCTTACAATCGTCATCCGTCGACGCCATTCGTTCCTCGACCGAAAGTAAGAAATCTTTCAGCCCCAACATAGCCGCGAACATGGACTCGAAGTCACAAGCTTCCCAGTCTTGTGAGTTGGGGATGAGACACGAGGGAACATACATACAACACCGTTCAACTTGCCCAGAAATTGTTTATAAGCAACAGCGCAGGATGAAACTGTGGAGCTTACTTTCGAACGAGCTAGGATAAAGCCTCGAGTCCATGGGAGATGGGAAGAAGGGGGAGCGTATGTTGGCTTGATTTGTCTTAAATCAACCTCCGTTGTAGCATCAGAAGAAGTGGCGACAGAGTGGACCATCGTGGCCGGCTGAAAGGGTCGATATTCTTTCCCTTATGTTCGGCCAGTTCAGGGTTGAACAGAAAAAGACTCTCGCTTAGTTCTGACAGCAAGACGCCGCATTTGATGCGGCGCAGAATTTAAAGTTTAATCGACAGGGCGGTGCTGGTTGCACCGTCCTCGCAGACCCTACCGCTCTGCGAAAGGATTGGCGGAGGGCTAGAAAGACTTCGAAGATATGCGAGGTTGACTAGGGATTGACACGGGTACCTCCGCGGGTGCCTGGACAGCTATCCATACCCTTACCCCTGTGGCTGTGTACCCCTTACCTGCGGGTACGGGTATGGGTTTACCCGCGGGTGCAGCAGCCACTAAAGGAGGTGGGTGAGCGATGCTACCAGGTTAGTGGCCATAAAAGCATGGTAAAAATAGAGCACTCAGCAAGAATCGAACGCAGAGGGTCAGCAGCAACAATCAAGAGGAAAGCCAGCTGAGTCAGTAAGCCACAGGTAAGGTGGTCGCTAACCCGTATCCGTACCCGCGCGGGTAAAAAAACCCGCGTACTGCGCGGGTTGGCCCTACCCGTGTCATTCCCTAAGGTTGCCCAGTGGAGGTTTTTCAGCTGTTAGCAAAATCCTAGGCCACTCCAAATTTTCTACTAGTCTGACGTCACCCGCGCTCTGAGGTGCTCGGAGGGTCACTTAGCTGGAGCAACAGTGGAGCATTGGCACTGCAAATTGCTTCATTTGGGTTGAAGTCTGTCCGACGCTCCAAGAGAGGAAAATTAAATGTGGCCTAGGATTTTGCCAACAGCTGTCAAAGGGAGGATATCGGAACAAGCCATCTTCTGGTCCAAATTAGTCGATATTTACTTTTGTTTGGCCTCGGAAGCTATACAACTCGGCTTCAAGCCTCTATGTCTTCCAGCTCGAGTGTCGTTTCTTTGCGCTCTGCGGCGTCATCTACTATCTCTTACCCTTCTACATCCTACCCATCGTCCCATACTGCATCCTACCAATCGTCTCGCACAGCAGTTGATTCAACAGGTTCACTCCCGGGCCATAATGATTGGATGGTTCGTTCCCTCACAAAATAAATATAATTGAAGCTCAGTACAGATTCAGAATTTGCACTTCTGCAACGTGCCCATCGAAATACCCCAAACCCACGCAGAGGGCGAAAAACTACTCCATTTCCTCCATTCGCGGTTGATGCGAACACAATCGCAAAAAGCAGTACATGCTCAAACGTATTCATGAGCAGCTCCAGTACCTCGATTACCTCAATGCCGAGCTGAATAAAGTGTCTGGCGATATCAACAACACGGAGGAGGACATCCAATGCACCACGCACTGCATGCGCGAGCACGGCATTACGTTTGGCGCAGGTCAGCGCGGCGAGTGCCTCCATTAGAGACGGGTTTCCTTAGGGTTGTAGTCGTACGCTCTTGTTGTATTTTTTGGCTTGTGCTAGCTAAGACGGCCATTTCATTTTAAATTTCCCGACTGACTTATATCTTGTGCACAACTCGGAAACTTCAAGTTGAACATTAACAATTTGAGCTACCGAAGCCTTTCACCCACGAGCATCAAGTACAAATTAGGCGGCTGTACAGGAGATTAAGCAACGTTACAAGAGTCAACATCACAGAACATTGGTGTGCGTCCACAATCAATCGGTTTGGACTGGAGCATGGGCCTGGGGATGACGACGCAAGAGGAGCACAAGACGACCGATAAGCCGCAAGAGCTCGACGTTTTGAGCTTGCATTTTCGCCGCCCGCACCGTCAAGACATATATCTCAGTCTGGGCCTCCCCCAACGATGTCCGCACCTGCGCGATCTCGTGCTCCTGTGCCTAACAAACTTAGATTTACCCCGCTTCAAAATGAGGGAAGAGGTTTACCATGAGTTGAGAACGCTGCCCAGCATTCATTCGGCGCAGAACCGCATGCACCAAACGATAGGCAGTCTGGACCTGCGAAGATTGTTGGAGTTGTAGTGTGAGTTGTTCCACGTTTTCCTCCAGATGGTCGTTGCAAGCTTCAAGAAGTGCGTTGAGGTTAATAAGACCTGCGACCTCCTTCTCAAGTTCCATTTGTTCCAGACGGTCCTCGGCAAACTTGAAAGCGGTTTCACTGGCAGACGCGGAGCCTAGGATTTGGTTGAAGTTGCACCAAAAGAGGAGGGTTGATAGTTACGTTCAGCTTCGTCAGCAGACGACGACGACATGATTGACCCAAAAGACAATCGCAGAGGCAACAGAGAGTTCAGACTCGGAGCAGCCAGGGTCGACTCGGAAGAGAGAAGATGGTAAGACTGGCACATCCCTCGGTTGATTATAACAGAAAGCTGGACTTGTAAGGCTTTTCGACTTCCCGAGCACGGACGGTCAGATTCAGAATTACGAAACGATTAGCACCGTTTTTAAGCAAGAGTGGCTTGACCTGTCGAGATGAATCTCAAACTCTTTGTGCGCTGTCAATCTCTGTTTCGTCCTATGTCCTTCAAAAGCAAATGAGCACCTCTGAGTCAGCAACTTAGATCTTCTCGTGAATAACCCTCTCACTATCGC